TGAGAAGCGCATAGTACAATAATTATCTATGGGATAATATGGTTCATGTTTTACTGTGACTTTGTTAGCGGTGAAAGCCTTACTCATATTTTAGAAACAGTAGGATCTGTGTTGTCATACTTTTACAAGGTTGAGAAATAAACACAGATGTCACAATTACAGATAATGTTGCACATTTTACTATGTGCTTGCAAATAAAGTTTCAGCTATCTAATTATCAGTGTGGAAAATACTAAGGAATGGTGAAGTTCGGAGACAGTGAGCTTCACTAAAATTTCTGAGTCCCAGGTCGACATCGTGAACATTTCCTGAGAACCCTGCTTTGTTCTTTTCTTCATTACAGATACCTTACTGCAGAGCTTTCCAAACTTTTCATGTTGGTGGCACACCTTTTAGACATGCATCATTTCACGACACAGTAATTCAGCTTTACTAGAAAGCCAGAGGTTAAACCAATCCCTTTCCAGCCCCAGGAGGAGCATGGGGAGCGTTCGTGCGACACACCCACACACCAGATCTGACACACTAATGTGTCGCGACACACAGTTTGGAAAGCTCTGCCTTACTGACTATATTTTTACTGAAAAGGAAGGTCCACCATGACATCATTGTAACATGGCCAGTTACATCAATAAATGTGGAAGTTACTTAATGGCATCCCCATGGAAGCTGTAAATACTGGTCAATTTTTCTTAAAACCAGAAAATGAATGGTTATTCTTTTACTCTTTCCAAAATGTACTTGAATTCTAAAGGAAAAAAAGGTCCCAACTGAACAGCACGATCCTATTCATGTCTACTCAGAAGTATATCCCACTGAGTGCAGTGAGGACTGTGGTCTCCATCTCGCTATTAGTAATTAGAAATAGTATTTCTTCTGACACAATTAGAAGCTGATTCCTTCACATCTGTCCACACACCTCAAACTCTTCCACACGTCTTTATATTCTTGCTTGATTATTACAAACGTTTGTTCCCTGACCTTTATGACAGTGGTGTAGCTGTCTTCAGTCTCTACAAAATTCAGTGCTAAATCCATCTTCTTTGATGGCCCCCAAAATAGTTATTAGAACTCACTCTTTTGAACATTTCTATTGATTCCCAGTTTCCTTTCACAAAGGCATTAAAAATTCTCAGCCTTGGTTTTAGAACTTTAATCCTGTCTGCCTGAGTATTTCACTCAGCCCTCTGTTACAATAACTATATTCTGATAAGTTATCTGAATGCCCCAGTTTTATACTATGGCCTGAGCTAATATCTAGCTACCCTGAACACCTCCCATCTACTCCAACTTATTTTTAACTGTCCTTATCTTTGCAAGCCTAAACAGCTCATAGTGCAGTTGGATGCTCTTGACAAGTCCAAGCATGTATCTCTCATTTTGAATCTGTTAGTGGGCTAGCTCTCTGACTGCACTGTCACACATTTTAGATTTTGCAGGACAGACCTTTTCAATGAGGTCTGCTGCACTGACAGCTTTCAGGAAGCAACTGCACAACCATGACACATCATTGTCCCATTGCATCATCACATAAGGGAAACCCAAACACAGCTTACGTAGCTGACATATGAATATATCATAATAAAAAATGCCCTTTTATTCAGGAGATATCTAATAATTTCAAGACGTGATACGCATTTTGCAGATTTGTAGCACAGAAGAAGCATATCATCTATACATGTATTTATTTCATTTTGCATTGGGTTTTTGTTTGAACTCTCCTTATGCTATCCTTTAAACTAAGGATGGGGAGGTGTTTTGAGCCAGTTTGCCAACCACGGCAAGTGTAATTGAATCTACAGTTCTGACATAAGCAAGTTATCCAGTTCTTTCAAAGAGGACCTGATCCAAATGGAAAGTTATTTCTTTGAATTTTGTATATTCCTCCTGCAATTTCACCGACACTGCAACTTCTTTTCAGTACACATGGGGTGGAATCTACAACCCACTCAATTGGTGTGTGTGTGTCTTGTTGTTTTGTTTTAAGAAAAACTTCCAGAAGAGGAGGAGATTCTGGTGCTTGGAATGGATGAGGAAAAAAGTGGAAAGGAGGCCTAGGAATGTTTCCTCTACAGCAACTTTTGGAGAAAGAGTTTCCACTCAGAGAAATGTTTTAATGGTGTTACCTCTTGTTTTGGAACATTGCATTACAAAGAACTCTGCTATTTACATAGTTTTCCGAGCCACGGGACATTCTGAAATCAGAATTTTCTGATTTGAGCTTGTGTGGTTTTATTTAGTCATCGAGCCATTGAAGTCCACAAAACATTTTTTTAAAAACCCTAGGACTGTCCTTATTTAATCATAGTAGGGCTCCAGTGTTTTTATCAGCTCAAGCTTTCTTAGGAACAGGGGTGAAAGAACAACCTGCAGCACTGGAATGTGTGCATTTACTTCTAAATAAACTTGGCTAAGGTAGAAACAAAACAAAACAAAAAAATCCAGTTGCATAATAACCTTATTGGAGCCGATAAAATGTTGCAAAAATGTGTGCAAGCTTTGAATAATCATAAAAAGTATTCCAGAACTCTTCATCAGGTGAGATGTTGCACAAAGCGGGAGTTGCGGGGTGAAGGTGCTAAACAAGCTGTTTTACAATTAGGCTGATTTCTGAAGCCTTGGGGTCAGCATTTAGATCAGGGCTGTGGGACCTGAGGCCCTCCAGATATCCAACTCCCATCATCCTGGTTAAAGTAACTTGTTTAAAGTACTGGAAGCAGAGTGTAGGAATAAATGTGGACAGTTCTCCCAATAAAAGAAGTGAAGTCCCCCAAGGATTGACTGGAACATTTGCTTTTTAAATTGTTCATACAGGATTTGGAGTTATGGGTGAGCCGTGAGGTAATTGTGTTTGTTGATGATAACAGAGCTGCAAGAACAAAAACAGATTGTGGGAGGCTCCAAAAGGATATCTCCAAACTGGGGGAATGAGCATTAAAATGGCAAATGTGATTCAGTGGAAGCAAGCGTTGTGTCATGCATGTTGGGTTAATAATCCTAACCACATATATATACAACTCAAGGGCTCTGAACTGGAAGTGACTGGCCAAGGAGCAGCTTGATGAAGATATTGACCCAGTGTGCAGCCGCTGTGAAAAAGTCGAATTCCCTGTTAAGGATCATTAGGAAAGGGTTTAAAATAAAACAGCCAATATTATATTGTCACTGAACGAATCTGTGATGTGGCCATGCTTAGAATACGGTGTTCATTTCTGGTTGCCACAGCAAAACAATACTGTACAGCTGGAAAAGGCTCAGAAAAGGGGAAGCAAAATGGCCAAGAGGCTGGAGCAACTTCCCTATGAGGCAGAAGTGGTTTGCTGGGTGCAGTGGAACAGCTCTACTGGTTGCCTGGCAGATGGGTTGTTGCTGCTTACAGTGAGGTGAAGGCACGGCAGTGGGGAGGTCATTGCCAGCAGGAGTGCCAAATTGGTGTTTAGACAAATTCATGACAAATAAGGCTAGCAATGGCTGAAGTACTGCAGGCACAATGCCTCTAAATACTCATTGCTGGAGAAAGTGCTGTTGCTGCTCATGTCCTGTCAGCAGGCTTCCCATAGGCATGTGGTTGGCCAGGATAAGAATAGGGTTCTCTATAGCCTATACGCACCTTTGGTCTGATTCAGCCGGGTTCTTTTAATGTGCTAACCACTGACCAATTCATTTCAGCACCTGAGGCAAAGCACAAAATGGCATCCCCCAGGGAAGAAGAGGTGAGTGAAGATGTACATCAGGAATAAGAAGGGGAATATATATATACACGCGGGTGGCGCTGTGGGTTAAACCACAGAGCCTAGGACTTGCTGATCAGAAGGTCGGCGGTTCGAATCCCCACGACGGGGTGAGCTCCCGTTGCTCGGTCCCTGCTCCTGCCAACCTAGCAGTTCGAAAGCATGTCAAAGTGCAAGTAGATAAATAGGTACCGCTCCGGCGGGAAGGTAAACGGTGTTTCCATGCGCTGCTCTGGTTTGCCAGAAGCGGCTTAGTCATGCTGGCCACAGGACCCGGAAGCTGTACGCCGGCTCCCTCAGCCAATAAAGCGAGATGAGCACCGCAACCCCAGAGTTGGTCATGACTGGACCTAATGGTCAGGGGTCCCTTTACCTTATATATATATATCCACAACGGGAACAAGAGGATGAGAATCAAATCAACCTTACCCAATGGTTGAAGTGAGAATCAAGGGCTATCATGTGGGGAAAGGGGCCTGCTCTGAATCATGCCAGTTGGGTGTAGAGCCCAAAAGACCCCAGAGGGCTGTCCTGGTGCCTCTTATCAGCTGAGATGCCACTGTACTGGCGACATTTGCGGGGGGGGGGGCTTCTGAGGAGGACGCAGATCCAACCTCCAAGGAGTACTCCACACCCTTTGTTGCTGCAGCAATGATGCAGTCCTTGGAAGCAGGAACTACTGGCCTCGCAGATCCTGCCGCCTGACCACTGCCTAATGGGTGGGCTGGCCCTGCCCCTGACCTTTGTCCATGCTGGTCAGGGGGTGCCAACTTGAATAAAATATTAGGGGGTGGGGCAGGTAAGCCCGGTCCTGCATAACCGATCACAAGATGTGGCACATGCACACCACTTGAATGCCAATGCCCATCAACTTTGTGGGGGACGGCCCCCTCAAATATTTAACTGGGTTGGCCAAAGGGACCTCAGCCCCTACGAGTTGGCTCCTATGATGCTGGCTGAAGCTTATTCAAGTCACCTGGAGCCCCCTCACCCATTTACAGAGGCGTGCAAATGGCAGCTAGTTGTGAAAGGCGCAGGAGCCTACCAGAGAAAAAGCTGGCAGCCTTATCAAGGGGCTCGACAGACCAATGCGGGTGCAAAAAATCGTGTGATGTGGAGCCTAGAATCCGGTGTGGCCAGGCGCCCATTCTGCAGGAAAGGAACGTCTGAGCGAGAAAAAAGGCGCCTGGCTGGTCTTCGATCCCCTTGGCGCGCGCTGGGGATTTCCACACCCCCCTAACATTCCTCCCCCCTCCCTCCATATCGTTCACTGTCATCTCAGCGGGTCAATGGCCGGTTCTTTTCCTCCGGCCCGCCACCCGAACGGAGAGGGGCGGGCTGCAGCAAGAGGAACCTTTTCGGCCCGCGAGGAGGAACCGCCAAGCAGCCCGAGGGGAAGCGGGCGGCCACTGCGGTGGCAGCTGTGGCGGAGGCTAGAGCGAGAGCAAAGCTGGAGAAGCTGCAGCCTGGCTGGGCGGGTAGGCGGCGCTTGGGTCCCCCAGGCCTGGCGCGGGTTGGCAGGGGTGAGGGAGCGGAGGCGGGGCGAGAGGCGAGCTGGGAGGGACGCCAGCCTGCGCTGGGTTCGGGCTGCCTGGCTGGCTGGGGCTGAGGCGAAGGAAGCAGCGCGGCGGCGAGCGAGGGCTGCTGTGGTAGCGGCGGCGAAGCAGCAGCAGCAGCAGGCGCAGACGGAGGCTTGGCGCGCTCGGCTTCTCTCCCTTCGCTGCAGGGCGCGCGGCTGGGGCCCGGGCGGGTGCGTGACAGCCGAAGGTGAGAGCCTTTCCTCCCGCGTCGCCGTCCCCTCGCCGCCGCCCGCCCGCCTCCCTTCCCTGCCTCGCTGCTGCCGGCCTAGCGAGCGTGCGGAGGGGAGTCCGGCGGCGGCGGCGGCGGGGCCGGGACGCCGCTTGGCCGCGCGCTGCAGACATCCTGTTCGGCGGCGCGAGGCCTCCTGCCGCCTGAAGGGGGGCTTCGCTGTCTCTCTCTCTTGCGCGCGGCTCCTGCTTCTTCCCCTCCTGGTGACAGGCAGGCAGGCAGGCAGGCAGGCAGGCAGGCAAGCAGGCAAGCAAGCAAAGCCTTGCATTGCATTCATTTCCCGTCTCCCCTGCCCGGCTGGCTTGGCTGGAGGAAGTTGAACTGGAGCAGAGCGGCGTCCTTGCAGCAGCGGGACCCGATCCCCGCGCCAGCTGGTATGCTTGCGAAGGAGAAAAAAATGCTTTCTCTGGGAAAGGGCGCTCAGGATTGCAGGAGGCAGCCCCGCTCCTCAGCCCCAGACCAGCCTAGGTGCCCTCCACTCTCAAGGTCTGGGAAGGGAGGAATTGCCGGGTGAAATATTTCGTATTCCCTGCCTCGCCTCCCCCTTTTTTGGGGGCTGGTGGCGGCCGACAGAGTTAAAGCTCCGCTGAACTGCATGCATCGCGGTTAGGCGAATTCTCAATCGGCTACAGGTCGTTTGAAAAACCCGGAAGGACTAAACCCTCTCGCTGACTTTATATTTCAAAATCTGAACACGTTTCCTTTTTCTTTCTTTTTCTGCCCCCCCCCCCCCCGGTGCTTTTTATGGACTTTGCACAGCGGCTGTGCTGCGTGAGGAAGTCCACACTGCTGGCTTATGTGGGGAAGCGAATCAAAAGAGTGCATGGCACTTCTTGGTCTAGACAGTGTGCAATGGCAAGAGCGGAGCACAAGGTGCTAGACTTGGTTGATGCTAAATAAAGCTGGCTAAATATTGACACTAAAATCTCATTCTCTGGATAAGTGAGCAATCCACGGAAGTTAATCTGGAAAACTGCTTCACACCATTTTCCTGATAGGAATTTTAGTCATGTATCAGAAGGCAACCCCCCCCCCCCACTCCTGTAATGTATTCATATTATAAGTACCGAATTTGCATAATGTAGTTCAACATAACTTTGCTCTTTTCTACATGTATTGTCTTTACTATTTTGAAAAACTTTAATTTCTCTTATAAATAAATAAGCAAACTCTTACTACCCTATCCGGACTACACAGGGAGACTTACTGGTTTTAATTAGATGCAATGTGAAGCAGAGATGCAATTTGTTGAATTCATAGCCCAGATATTATATGAAGCTTGTGTTGCCAAAGCTGCATTTCAGTGAAGTGTAATGAGCTGTTAAGCGAACTTCTTGTGCTATCGAGAGTGCTGCATTGTGTTTGCTTTGGGATTTACTGGTGGCATTTTAGAAAAATAGCTCTTATTAGTGTATTGTGTCTTTCCTGGAAATGGAAAGTGTCTGGTTCTGGAGGAACAAATGGCTGGTTGAAGGATTTGAGTTCAGGAAGCGGAGAGGAAAGTCTTGTGTTTTCTGCTGCCAAATCCTTGCCTCTAAGCATTGGATTAAAACGTGCCCACACTGAAAATAGAGGGTATAAGATGCATAGAACCATTTGAATAGGCAGAGAAATTTATTGCTGTTCAGATGACAAGTGCAAATGGAATTAAGCAAGGTGTTGCATTTTCACATGATGTGTGTTGCTGGGTTATATTTTTATTACCGTAATTCATCAACAGAAAAAATCCAGTGTGTGGTACCCATAATGTAAAAAATGAAGACACTGGGTTGTAGCCAACATAATCTCTACTCAGAGTAGACCCATTGAAATTAATAAACTTGACTAACTTATTTATTAATTTCAATAGGTCTACTGTGCGTAGAACTTAGTTGGATACAGACCAATTAATTGAATGTATAAGGGAGCAAAAAACAAAACAAAAAACCAACACCCTAGTAAAATCTCTGTGGTGCCGACAGGAGGAGCTATTATAACTTAAGGCTATGACACTCACAGGTGCAATCCTGTGCCTGTCTACTCGGTAGCAAGTTCTGTTGAGTTCATTGAAACTTACTTCTATTTCAGTAAGTACACAGTTGTAGTCTTAATGTGAAGCTTTTTGAGGAATGAATGCAAAGTCTAGAAATTTGTATAGTAGAACAGATCCTTTGCAAGTGTAAGGTACCAGTTTGTTAAATAATTTTGGCCAGAAGAGCTGGGAATGACTTCTACAGTCAGAGTACAGTGGTACCTCAGGTTACATACGCTTCAGGTTACATACGCTTCAGGTTACAGACTCCGCTAACCCAGAAATAGTGCTTCAGGTTAAGAACTTTGCTTCAGGATGAGAACAGAAATTGTGCTCTGGCGGCGCGGCGGCAGCAAGAGACCCCATTAGCTAAAGTGGTGCTTCAGGTTAAGAACAGTTTCAGGTTAAGAACAGACCTCCAGAACGAATTAAGTACTTAACCCGAGGTACCACTGTATACTGTTCTGAGGTAGAGGGACTGCTATAAAGAAAGAATCCCATTACTCCTCAGGATTAAAACCTGTAAGCTACAGAAGGATAAAATCTGGACCACATAAATTTAATGGGCATTCTGCTTCTTGATCAGGCAAATCCAATTCCACTTTATTTAAAAGATCATAATAATATTTGCATATAGTACTTGGATTGTCCTGCAATGCTGTAATTACTTATAAGGGAGTAAGCCCCATTGCACTTCATGGAATTTACTTCTGAATAGATGTGCAGAGAATTGCATTCTAACTTCTTTAAAAGCTCCTATAATTAGTACAGGACTGTTTACAATAATGGCTGGAGACAGTGTTTTAATTTTGTTTAAAATGTGATTGGCTTGTGGAACACATTAATAGCACAAAGAATAAATGTAACAAGTAAATAGTTCTTTTAAAAAGTTATTGCTTAATGTGTAAGGTCATAAAGATGTCTTAGGCAGAGCAAATAGCTCTTCAGCGCAACTTCAGAAGCAGAAAACTCATACTAAAATGTCTTGGTCAAGGAAACAGTTGAGGCTATCCTGAAAGATTCTTTGCTGTTCTCAAACTGACTGCAAACCAGAGACTGATCTGTACCATCTCACTTGCTGGTATAAATACTGCAGTATTTCTGTACAGTGGTACCTCGGGTTACATACGCTTCAGGTTACATACGCTTCAGGTTACAGACTCCACTAACCCAGAAATATTACCTCGGGTTAAGAACTTTGCTTCAGGATGAGAACAGAAATCGTGTAGCTGCGGTGCAGCGGCAGCAGGAGGCCCCATTAGCTAAAGTGGTGCTTCAGGTTAAGAACACTTTCAGGTTAAGAACGGACCTCCTGAATGAATTAAGTACTTAACCCGAGGTACCACTGTATTATGGAAGTATTGGAGCACGGCAGCTGTGTTGGTAAGATCCATCAGTTTGCTGTCTTGGAGAGTAGGCTTAACAGCTAGAGGTTTGCTGGGCAAGACCATGCTTGGCCCCGATTTCCAATACAGATTTGTACTGGCTGATAACAAAAAGGCAAAATGAAACTGCTGCATTTGGGGAATACAGTACATGGGTATAGAGGAGTTCAGCACTTAACAAAGCGACTTGGGACATTTGCTTCCCATGTGATGCATTGTCAACCCTGAGGTTCAAGGGGGTTGTTGCCGTATTGTATCTACAGTGCAACCCTCCCTTTTCAGATTTAACTGAAAGTTTGTTGGGGTGGGTGGAGGGGCTGTGCTATCTATCTCTACTGGTGGGGAGGGGGGAAATAGGTCAAACTTGACATATTTTACAGTGTTTAGAGAAGAACTCTAATTGGCAGTGTGCCAAAATGGTTGTGTCAACGAGAACAAAGTGAGTAGGCCTTCTCACACACTTGTGCACTTGTGGAGCTGAAACTATTTCTTAGCGTGATAATAAATATTTCAAAGCATTTGAGATATTTGGAGAAGTGTTAATTTTCTGGCACAGGTTGTGTATATATTTAGTTGAGTGTTGGCGATGTTCCAGACTCTCAAGTCAAGGTGTGTTTAAGTGGACTTGCTTGTTTGTTGCAAGAATTAATGATGAAAACAATGTACACAGAAATCACTGTAGAACAATTTAATTAATACTTACGGTGCATTCCCCCTTGTTTCCAGTTCCAGATGTGTTCCTAGGCATAGGTGTGAAAGTTCTAGAGTTATTAGTAGACTTTCATAGCCAATGCCGAAGTGTTCAGTTCCTTAGTGGGGGCATGTTGAGGCACATAACCTTACCTCCCCGCCACTATACTCCAAGAGTCTAAATCCAATGTAAGATGTTTGGCTAGCTTCCACCAGTACATAAGAGCCCTGCAGGATCAGATCAAAGGCTTATCTAGTCCAGCATTCTAGGCGAGCCTGATGCTTGGGCAATAGCACAATCCCATAGGTGCAGTGGCAATGCTGTGCAAAATTCTGCATGCTGTATCTATAGAAAGTGGTTTTCTTTTCTATTAGAGGCTGTTTACTGAGTGTAATCAGTAAATATATTTACTGATATGCATAATTTTTCCTTACTAAGAGGTTTACCCCTGAGTTTTGTTGGTGGGCTTTGTTAGATGGATTTGCATTTGTCAAGCGACTTGGAGGCTCCACCTTCTCTGGAGGACCGAGGGAACCAGATGCAACATCCTGTTGTCGTGCATGCGATTTTGCACGACATCAGGATGCTGTGCAAGATCGGGGGGGGGCACAGTGCCTCAGCCCCCAGGAGCTGGCACCCTTGTAGCATATCAATTCTTTCAATGCATCATTTCCCCTTCTTGCAGATACCAGAGAGTGGAGAAAATTAGCATATAGTGATACTGCATGTTCATTCGTGGGTTCCTAAGTACAGCAGAAAGGCTGGAGTACTGTGGGAGAAGAGCTTATGTAGAGACGCTACATGGTGCCTTTGGATGGTTGATAACTTGTGGCATCTTCAGAATCAAAGGGGCAGCTTTGCAGCGAGGAGTGTAACAGAATGACAGAAGAGGTGGGGGGGAGATAGGCACTTGTAACAGAGCTTACTGGCTCTCAAATGTAATTCTTATTTAATCAAAGCAGTCAGTATACCCAACTAACGTAACCAAAGTAGGAGTTTGGGAAGGGACTGTTACTTGCAGGAGGTCTGTTTCTCCTCTTTTCTTTCCAATAGTTTCACCTTTTAAGTACATTGATAGATGGCGACTTGTGCAGAGCTGTTTCTTGACGTTGTGTATATGCACAGGAATACTCTTTTACACTTGGCTTACAGTCACACAGCCAAATGACAACATGCATGAAAATAATTCTGTTGACGGATGATGATTGGTTGTCCTTATTGATTAGTGTTCACCAACATTTCCTCAGTGCATTGAAGATGTAAGGGATCAAAAGGCACTTCCCCCCTTATATTATGAAGCGTGGCTCATGGAAGAGTAAACATGGTGTAAAATCCCATGTTTTTAAGATCATGAGAACCAAAGGACCTGTTATCATTACTTCCAATATATTTGCCAGTCATCAGTAGACAGAGATATGGCACTTTGTGCTCCATTTTTCTTCATTCATACATAACTGCACATTGCAGGTCTAGATATAGAAAAAGATGATAACTTTTAGTAAACATTTACATCCGTTAGTAACCATCGCTTATATTGAGAAATATTTCCCCATATTTTATCGTCTAATGCTACTGAATCTGTGTCATTGCTATTACTTGTGAAGCCATCTGTGCTACAAGTTTCTTCACGTAATTCCTCTTCTTCCTGTGAACTCACTAATACAGTCATCAGGTATCTGTCATCATTAATCATTCAACCAGTGTTATTAATGGTTAACAGTGGTACCATCACTATTTTGGATCTCAGTATCTTGAGCTTCAATATTTTGTTTGTGTGAGATTCTATTTTGTTTCTAATTTTTCCACATTTCTATGGTGGCCCTATTTTCACAGAAGAGTAAGCCATGGTCAATAACAAACCATGGCATACCACAAATCATGCTCGTCACACTCCTTCCTTTACTGAGCTGGGTGGGAACAAAGCAGAGTGCTGTCTGAATGTTACATGTGAACCAGCACTCATGCTTTCCTTGTCTTCAGACGAGCCATGAGCAGAAGCCAAGGTTTGTTTTTGTGGCTTGTTTGGAGAGAATCAAATGGAAGCCCTGGTTCACATTTATTTTCTCTGTGCTAAGCAAAGGGAGCAACAGAGTAGATGCAATATGAGCAGTCATGGTAAACCATAGTTTACCATGATGTGTGAACCCAGGCCAGGTCCTAAGAACAAATTCAGGAGACATATTAGAAAAGCTCTTTGGTTTCCAACACCCAGAAACTTGAGGACCATGTAGGACAGGGGCAGGGGACCTTTTCTGGCTGGTGGACCAGATCCAAACCTCCACCATCCTCTGCAGGTCACCGTGACCAGGTGTGGGAGGTAATCACTTGTCCCATTGTGACATCAGGCGAAAACTTCAAAGGTGCTTGCTAAAAGCATGCTGCAGATGAAGAATGTCTATTTGCAGCTGTTGTTTGAATCCAAACATCCAATTTTATTTTCATTTATTTATTATATTTATATATTGCCTTTATCTTCCGAGGATATCAAGGTGGTGTACAGTGGATGCTCGGGTTGCGAATGTGATCCATGTGGGAAGAACGTTTGCAACCCGCATTGTTCGCAACCCGCAGCACCATGTCTGCGCACGGGTCACGATTCGGTACTTCTGTGCATGCACAAAGCGCAATATAGCGCTTTTGCATATGCGCAAGCGCCGGAAGTAACCTGTTCTGGTACTTTTGGGTTTGGCACAGTGCGCAACCCGAAATCGCGCAACCCGAAGTGTCTGTAACCCGAGGTATGGCTGTACATGGTTCTCCTCCCCAATTCATCCTCGCAACAACCCATGGGTTAGGCTAAGAGATGGTGACTGGCCCAAGATCACCCAGTGAGCTTCATGGCTGAGTGGGAATTTGAACCACACTTAGCTCAAATGGACGAAGCAGGGCTCAGTTTCAGTTCCCATCAGCTGATGGGCACTGAAAATGAGCCCCCCCTTAGTGCAGCTGATCCCAGTGTGGCTCAGATGCATGAAGGCACAGTATGTCACAGCACAGAACATGTATACTGCCTTTGGTGCAGAAGACAAAACTGTCTCCTTAACTCATAATTTTCATGCTTTTTGATGCATGAATGACTTTGTAAGAACCTTAACTCTACTGAAGGAGTTTGATCCTAGAATTATTAGGTCAGGTGTAAATGGTTTCTGTGACTTTGAAAATGTAGGATTGGGTACCACATCTATTCTACTATGAGCCATAGTTCATGAAATACAGATTTTCAAAAATTGTGTTATGTGATCCTACTGCAACTGGGATAGAGCGGGGTTTTTTTCCAGAGAATTTCTTTGGCAGAATTAATCCATCAGTTGGAATTTTCACATAACCGTTATTCATTATACTTTGCAGCAAATGGCAGAGTGGCAGTATAAAAAAAATATTATCCTGTAAATAGTCTCACCTGCTAGAATTACATAGCCCCCTGAAGACATTTTATTCTTTGCTTTAAAAGGTTTTCACTGTTTAAGTGAATGCTTTCACTTGTTGGTACAGCAATGCAGCAATTAGATTATGATTTGAATTTAGCTTTTTCTATAGCTGTAGAATGAATAACAGGTGAAATAATAAAAACTTTATAAGGCACCTACTGTTCTGGATTTCTGTAAGCTAGTGTTTAGTGTGTATATTTATAGTATTTTACAGCAGTGTATTGCTTTTTTAACTTCGTAATCACACCAACATGATTTAAATGTTCAAGCCTCGTCTTTTGCTCCAGGTCTAATTTAAGTATTTACCACTTCCCCCAGCCTGACAAAATACTTCTCCTTAGGTGGTCTAGCTTCAGTACAGTTACATAAAGCTGTGGGAAATCACATCAAAATATGAAAGGAGTAAGTTAAAGTCTTCATAGAAAAAGTGTAACCTTGCTGTTAAATGTATAGTTTCTGAGGAAATAAAAAATGGAGGCACGTGATTCCATGCATAAAATCAATTTGTGTTCGAGCAATGCTTCTTCTCAAAAGAACCACCCCAAAGCAAGAAGGCATGATCGGGAGGATGGCATGGGTTAAACCCACCCTAGTTTAATTCACTCTTTCTCATGCTTGCCCTCAGCATTGGAGAAGGTAGACGAGTAGGGAGAAGAGCACTGATCCCCTAAGAGTATAGCAGATTTTAAAGATAAGAGCCCTAGAGCACTTTTCCTGCCTTCTCCTGTCTTAGAACTTAAGCTCCTCTGTCCATACTCAGTCGCTAGATTCTTCCATGATGGATATTTGTTGAAGGATGGTTTGCGCCACAAACTAGGCCTAAAATGAAAGACCTGTGCTCCTTCACGCTCTTCCCCTTATCGTCACTTTTAACTGTTTGCCCCTGTTTCTATCTTTTTAAGCATGTATGATACAAAGGTAAAGGGACCCCTGACCATTAGGTCCACTCGTGACCAACTCGGGGGTTGTGGTGCTCATCTCGCTTTATTGGCTGAGGGAGCTGGCGTACAGCTTCCGGGTCATGTGGCCAGCATGACTAAGCCGCTTCTGGCGAACCAGAGCAGCCCACGGAAACGCTGTTTACCTTCCCGCTGGAGCGGTACCTATTTATCTACTTGCACTTTGACGCGCTATCGAACTGCTAGGTTGGCAGGAGCAGGGACCGAGCAACAGGAGCTCACCCCATCGCGGGGATTCGAACCGCCGACCTTCTGATCAGCAAGTCCTAGGCTCTGTGGTTTAACCCACAGCGCCACCCGCATCCATGTATGATATAATCACCTTTTAATTGCTAATCATTATCCCATACCTGTTTTAAGTCTTATGTGTTCAGTTTATCCGTATGTTTTATCTTATACTGGTCTGTGACCGAAATAAAGTTTGATACTGATATTTAAGCTCCTCTGTAAAAAATATGTGTATGAAATAGGGCTTCAGTAATTTGCGAGGGGTGGGGTGGAAGTGCACCAAACAGAGAGCAGGGGTGACTTGGCCATTAAGGATGAGCACTTATTAGGGGGACTTCCCATAGAATCATAGAGTTGGAAGGGACCCCGAGGATCATCTAGTCCAACCCCCTGCAATGCAGGAATATGCAGCTGTCCCATATGGGAATAGAACCTGCAACCTTGGCATTATCAACACCATTCTCCAACCAACTGAACTATCCATTCTAGCAACCCCTGGACTGGAATGCGGAAGCATTGTTCACCTGGTTTCCCAATGCAGAGGTCACTGCTGGTAACTGAGAGAGGCGAGATGGTGGGGAGGGTGGCATGGTGTGGGGGCTGTCAGCCTGAGGCCCCCACCTCTCTGCCCACATCATACTTATTTCCACAACAGCGTGCCCCTCTCAGTTACTGGCAGTGACCTCCTCAGTGAGAAGCCAGGCAAGCAATGTTGCCCCACCTTGCTCTGTCCTGCCAGACTGGACTTGATTTCCAATGTAGAGGCAGTACTACAAGAAGTAGCGCACTGGAAACTAGTTTTCAGTACGTGCACTGAAGCTGTTAGTGCTCACCTACTATCTATATTACGAAAAGAGGGGTGTTCGTGTAGGAGCTTCCCCTTGGAGCCAAATAGATTCTTTTCTGGGTTGGCGTACCTCCTTGGAGTTCTAGTTTGAAGTCCGTTTTGTCAGGTCTTCCATTTTAATTTTTGTTCTGTGCCAGCACACTTGTTTCTGAAACATTTCCCACTAGAACCTGAGCTTACCGTAGTTAGAGCCTTCAATGAGAATGGGAGTAATTACGTTAATTTCATGTTTGAATTTTTTTCTTCCTCCGTAGGTGAAGTATGTGTGCAGAACTCCACCGCAAAAAGTTTAAGAAAAGTGAACATTTTCCAGCAAGTACATCAGGAGGAGGTGCAGCAAGGAGTAATTTTCAGCCCACCTTGAAAAATTGTGCCCATAAGTGCCAAGCTGACCTGAAAAGGAACTAGCTGGGAGTCTATACATAGATAAAAGTCCACTCTTCTGAAATTTCACTGATTAAATGTAAAAGACGCACATACGGCCTCAGCTGTACAGCCACAGATTCTGGTGCTTCTTATGTGTTTGTGTTGCAGTCCTTCTAACTGACACGTTACTTCCCCTGTTTATAACTTCTTTCGCTGTATATACAATAAAACCGAGTAGCACTGTGTTGCTGTTATTCGCTAAAATAATTGAATGTTAAGACCTTTGCCAAAATGAGTGCAGAAGGATACCAGTACAGAGCTTTATATGATTACAAAAAAGAACGAGAGGAAGACATTGACTTGCACCTGGGAGATATTTTAACTGTGAATAAAGGTACTTTAGTGGCCCTTGGATTCAATGACGGGGAAGAAGAGAAACCTGAGGAAATCGGTTGGCTGAATGGTTATAACGAAACTACTGGAGAAAGGGGGGACTTCCCAGGAACTTACGTAGAATATATCGGAAGAAAAAAGATTTGTCCCCCAACTCCAAAGCCTCGTCCTGTTCGACCTCTTCCTGTGGCACCAAGTCCAGCAAGAGTAGGAACAGACAATGATCAACCAGGTTAGTAACGACTCTCCCCCACCCCTAATCATTGTGGTTCAATGTCCAAACCTTTATTCTATGGAATATTAAGTGAATACTGCAAACGGTAAGTCATTGAAATTGGTCAGAACACTGGTAGCTTTATTTTATTATTATTCGTATTTTTCTAAACCATGTTCACTTTGTAACAACTGCATTTTCCTATTTGGGCTAGAAAAGAGTTCGTGCTTTCCTTGCATTTTGATTGCCCTTGTGCAGCATGACCATAAAATAGCAAAAACCATAATGGTTTTGGGAAGTACTTCAGCATACTTGCCTTCAGACTGTGTTCCAGAGAACCTGTGGTACTTCAGTAAGAATGTTGGTAACGGCAAACGAGTTTTCTTTAAAGATACATTTTCCATTACTACCGAATTTCCTCTGTAAAATTTTACCCTTTTGAGTCTCAGGGCATGTTGTCAAGTCAGCTAGGGTGAGATCTGGCTAGTACTCTTCAGTGCTGTGCTCTTGAAAATCTACAGAATCCTCTGCAAAAAGTAGGGGTTCTCTTCAAGACAAGTGTGGAAGGAGTGTCCTAAATGTAACCCCCCCCCCAAAAAAAACCTGTTGCTCTAACACATAGGACAGGGAAATTCTAAGGTAATAAACATTTCAGTTTAGAGCAGCTGTCACCAACATGGTGCCCTCCAGATACTGAACTATAGTTCCCATCACCCAAGATTATTGGCTGCACTGCCTGAGGCTGATGAGAGTCTGGCAATATGTATGATCTGCATACATGAATTATAACTTTTTCAATAACACCTGGGTAGTAGTAACCACACATATCACTGAAACTATTACTCGCGGCTATAAATGGAAATGAAATATCACTGCTACTGTTAGGTTGTAGTCATGTGCCAGTTCTGCTAATATAGCTTAATATTTAAGAAAACGTACACTAACTTTATTCAGATAAATACATGGTTTTTAAATGTAATAGGGGCCAGCCCTGCCATCATGCAGAATGAGGCAACTGTCTCAGGTGGCAGATGCTGCTGCAGCGGCCCATGGCTGCTCCTCCAGATTCCTCCAGTCCTTCCACTGCCCCCTCCCAAATGTGGCCTGCTGCCTCAGATGCAGTGAACAATGCCATCTTACCACTAGTGTTAATGTAAGCTTCAACTGCTGGCCCAGCTGGTTTTTGCTTGAGGGAAACACCATTTTGTCCTTTGCTTCATACAGCAAAATGCCTTGGTCTGGGCCTAAATGTATTTTTGCTGTCCTCTGAGGCATACTGGTATTGAAAGCCAGGCCAATCAACTTTTTTTGTAAGAAATATATACATGTAAGAGAAGGAGGTTGGGAAGGAGATGGTTTTCACAAATTCTTTCACCTCCCCACAGTCTATTTGCTCCAGAGAGTTGGGAGGACCCTCTGGAACAGCATGGGTGATGGTTTGGTGCTTGCAGGGGGCACGGGAATCCCTGGAAATTGCCTCGCTCTCATCTTCTCCTGATGGAAGGTTCCAATGGATCAGAGAGTCTTCCATCATTAGAGAGATGCCACTTGGATGCAACACTTAGTCTTGGTGACTTCTAGTTCTTCGTGTTCTCTCTTCAAGCTCTCCTGTGTGTGTGACAACAGAAGTAACATACTAGGAAATCATTTTTGTTACTTTAAATGAATTCATGTAACGGGAATCTTTATCGTTTTGTTTGTTGAGTAACAGCGTTTGTCATCTTCACCTTTCATGGACCCCTGAATCCCGCCTGCCCACCAAAATCCCAAAGTAGTACAGAATGGTAAAATGTTAAAGCTTGATTCAGAAAAGTAGTTGCTGATGGGAAGGTGGCAAAGTGGAGTGGAATTGAATTGCAAGAGGTGGCTCTGGCTACATGTATCTGTGTATATCCATCTCCTTTGACGTTGCCTGGGGAGCAGGATGTGCATAAATGAATTTCCCTCTGAGGTTCTGTTGTGCCCACAAAGTAGAAGAGAAAGTGGAAACATGTAACATGGTATTATCTGCTGTCTTTCTTACACATGGCAAATGTAAGCACCTTGCATGTTTAATAGAGCTGCTTTAGAACAACAGAAGGAATAATTCACAACTGTGTCAGTGTTCCACAAAGTAGTGACAATACACTACACTACAGCTTTATGTTGAAAACATAATCTCCCCTTACATATTACATATTAAGAAATGCCTTTGGATCCTATGGTGTAGGGGAAAATATTTGTTGCTTAAATACCAGCACTGGTGCCTTCCCTCTTCTGGAGTCACAGTGTAAATTATTAAAAGTGGAAATTCTGTTCCCAGGATAATGAAATGGTTAATCTTTTATATAGTCCAGATGAATGTGGGCAGCAAACCAACAGGAACCTTCCCAGGATAATAAACCATTGTTCTGCACATTAGAGTGCATTTTGACTATAAGGAGACTTGATGTAAAGCTTGCTTGACTGTATTTGGTCAAGTTCATATTTTCCAGGCTTAATTTTTTCATACTGCTCCATCAGTAGGAGAGGGAGCACATGAGGAGTGATGTTTCTTACTGTACTACTTGGAGTCAAATTGAAAATGAAAACATAGTTGTATGGTTTACAGATTAGGCCTCTGTTGTGGTTTCTCACTGATATATTCACCATGGTACCTTCCCCCCAAACTATTTTTAACATGTGTTCCCATAAACAAAACAAGCTTTATTTGGGGTTTCTGCTTTTGTTTATCAGACTTGGTAACTTGATACTTGGAACACTTCTCTTTCCTTAATCAGACAAGTGTTTTGTCTTTGTGAGCATACATATCTTGAAATCAACAGATGTGATTGAAATTTGTGCACTGTGTTTGAGGAAGGCTGAGCTTTAATTAGCTAACAGAAATGTTTTCTTTTTCAAATTTAATTTTCTATACGAACCTAGGATTTAAAATATATAATGCTAACAAAAGCAATTTAATGTATAACATAACATAGACAACATAACATAGAAACTCTTAAGGGGTTATGGAAGACAAATAATACCGGTAATTGTTTTCAATAGTTTTGTCTCAGCGTTTTGCAGTTAAAGTAACAGTTTTGTAGCACCCTAATGACTTAACAAATTAGTAACTGGCTTACCCATTCCAGGATCTTTGTTATCTTCAGCACTGTTTTGCTTTGTGAATGGTTCTACATACGGGTACATTTAAGCTTTTAACATAAGTATCAGTCTGCACTTTGCCCTTCATGTTCCTTTGCTTACAATCCTTTCCCTTTGCATGTATATAGCAATTTAGGATAACATTTCGCCCATCTGATGAAGTGGACCTTGCTTACCAAAAGCATGTGACATAAGAAATACATTAATCTTTCAGATGCCACAAAACACTTTTTTATATATCATAACAGTGGTTAGCCTTACTGCAGAAAAATTTAATTCCTCTTTCTAACCCCCCGTTATTAAAATAAAAATTAGATATTGGCAATTCCAGTGATTATCTGAGGGTAGGACCTCTGTGTACTCATGTAAGTATATCTTGACAGTAAGGGCCAATTTAACATTATCTTAATGATGGGTGCTACTGCTTCCCCATGTTTAGAACTCTTTCTGTTATTGTCATATCTAGAAAGAGGAATTATGTGATATGGGGAAACCATGTGGTTATGTCAAACACCAGTATCATTTCTTCCAGGGATGCTGGTCTTGGAAGAAACCACATTACTCGCCCACATGGGGTGGTTTCTCTTTTCAGATTGGAGCCATAAGGAATTTAGCCAACAGGAACCGGCTGTCACACTGCTCTGGTAACCAAATAGCCATAACTTATGGGTGAAATTCAGGAACATTCCCTTGAAATTTTGTAGACAGTGCTGTTTATACTTGGTCATTACTGGGGGGGGGGAGAGAATTGGGGTGATTGGAGAAGTATGGATGGTCTTCAACTAAGTTTTGCTCAGAGGAGGCCCTTTGAAATTAATGGACCTAACTTAATCCTGTTGGTTTCAATGCATCCATTCTGAGCAAATTTTTGTTGAATACCTCCCAAAGTATGTTTCCCTTTCCAGTATGCCCCCCCCACCCCCCGGTTTATTCTACTCCACTAACATTTGTGTGAGTATCAGTGCTGGTATAATCATATGGTTGCAAGATGGAGGGCACTTCTATTACTCCTCTTGCCAAAATAATAATAATCTGTATAACCTTTAAGACGTTTATTGGTTATTCTTTGCGTTTACACACACACACACACACACACACACACACAATCACTTTTGGGTATGCTGGTTGCCCTACCAATTAATATTAGAAATATATTTTCAAAGGTAAAAAGTTTCCAAAATAACCTTGCGGGGGGGGGGGGGAGAGACATAGCTGTGAAGTTGAGGACATATCTTTGTGAGTTTCACCTCTCCATTTGACAACATTCGACAAAGCTGAACAGCATGGTATTTATGTATATTCTGTCTTTTGTTGGGAATTGCACAGAGAGGGAAATGCAATTATGAGCACCCTGCAGAATAATTCAGATAATCCCTAGGGACATCTTCCTCAAGGGAGAGAAGCTACTTGTACAAATAAACAATATCAGGAGTCTTTACTGATAGTAAAATATTGAAAATTGACAGTTCAACGCTGTGAAACAGCATCCTATTCTACAGCCTATTTGTGTTTCTTTTAAGAGGCATTGCAATCTGCTGGTCTGATTCCCCAGCAAAGCAAGTGGGGTTGGTTGTTTACTCCTGAAATAAAGCTTCTGAAAAGATAAGTGACAATATCTCATCTTGGAAAAATCTCTACTGCTGTTTTCCAGACCCAGAAATAAGATGTTTCAAAAGTTTATTGCATTATTTACAAAGATGTGAAATAATATATAAAGTCTCTTCAATATTTGTACAGATACTTCTGTGGGAGGCAGTTGTCTAAAGCCAGGATAGTGGGGAATTCTTGGTTTCCCCAAACGTGTTGGTATATCCATGAAATATATTGCAAAGCCAGGTGCTTTTAAAACCTGTGACATTTACAAGTAACATCCTGCCCTAACTCACATTTCAATATGTATCTTGATCCCTGTACTCTAAAATAGCAATCAAACAAAGTAGCTGAGAAGTTGGTATCCCATCATGGACTTGTACATCATGGACTTGCACATGTGCAGGAAATCCAAGAATGGGATATATCTACATGTTTGCTCACAGAGATAACAGTTCTCTTCAGGTGTTCTAAATACCTGTGTAGGAGGCACAAAGATGTACATGTTGGTTCCACCCCTTCACCCCGCGCCTTCCCACGTTGAGCAGGAAGATCTGAAGTGGGATAATAAGCCCATTCAACACTATAAATGCAGGAATGTCAGGATGGAGGGACGTGGGGCTGACTTCCTGAACCCTGCAGCCTCTGTATAGTTAGACACTGTTAATCCCTAAAGAGGGCTAATGTATGCATGCTAACAATTCTGAACTCCACAATGAAGAGGGGTGTATGAATGCATGTGTGTATGTGTACATACACACAAATATATATGGCTGTTTTATTCCTAAGGAGAAGAAGAAAAGGGGAAGGAATTATTACAATGTTGCTGTTGTTGTTGTTGTTGTTGTTGTTGTTGTTGTTGTTGTTGTTGTTATACCCTGCCCATCTGACTGGGTTGCCCCAGCCACTCTGGGTGGCTTCTAGCACACACAAAAAGACAGTAAAACTTCACACATTAATAGGCTTCCCTATACAGGGTTGCCTTCAGATGACTTCTAAAGGTTCTATAGTTACTCATCTCCTTGACATCTGATGGGAGGGCTGTTCCACAGGGTGGGTGGGTCCTGCTAGCTAGGGATGATGGGAGTTTTAGTCCAAAAACAGATAAGAGACCCAAGTTTGGGGAACTCTGATATAGATGGACATGGTAATACACTTTCTGAACAACCTTTACATTAATACTGTTGAAAAATGCATTGACATTTTAATATGCCTCCTGAAATGTCTACCTGTTTAAGAAGTTTCTGTTCACTAGTTGTTGTTTTTAAGGGCTAAATGGCTGATTTATCAAAGGACTTCTAGGTAGCTTTTAATCTTAAGTAATATACACACAAAAGGGATGGGATTATCAGTTTGCTTGGCATATTTTTGGTGTTACATTTGAACAACTGATTTATTTATTTTTAAAAGGCTAAAGCACTCACCCCTCAATGCCACAGAGCTTCTCTTACTGCTGTTTGACTCCATCTGCTGGTAAATACTCATAATCCCAAAAATATTTCACACAAGTAATTGATCGATTGAAAGTAACAAAATGGAATCCAGTCTTCGTGTGTGTGTCCCCAAGACAGACATCTTATTTAAATATAATCTAATCTAATGTGCATTGCTGACACAGTCTATAGGTTTAGCAGTCTTTCACTTGGGGTTTACTTATAAAGGAAGACTTGTTTTTTTTTTTGCAAAACGTGGTCATTTGCAGCTGCTAATTTCTTGCCAAGAAATGATTAATTCTGTACCACCACGCCCCCTTAAATCTTTTCTTAATGCCATTTACAGATACACAGTTTCTTGTGAAAGAACGCAGATGTCTGCAGTGCAGCTGGCCATAAAACTTTCTGCATGTGTATCTTGCTTAAAATCTTGTGTCCATGATGAATTACCATGAAATCAGTCTGAAGGCTGAAATCTGAGGAATTACCTTATTTTAATAGCCTGGAATGAAAAGGGCATTTGTGTTGCACTTTAAGTATTTAGCAGTGGTTATGGCTTATGCATTCTGTGGCATTATACTGACAGTACTGAAGGAGTGGTTGGGTTTGCTTTATTAAATCCAGCCAGCTTTTAATTTTTATTTCAAAACAGAAAGATTCAAATGCCATGTCCTAATTCTTTAAATTCTCATCCTGTCCTGTAGCAAAGATAGTGCACTATATAACAATGCATCAAATAAAACACAACATATTTTAATTTTATTTTTTTAAAAAAACTTATGTTGACTAAACCCTGACCCCAGAAGCCAGCCCAGACAAAGGTCTTACAGTGCTTCTAAAAAATATGCTTAGTTTTTTTGGCTTGCGTCCAAGGGGAGGGGAATTCCACAGCTGTGACAGAGACCAAGAGCTCTTCTGTCTGTGCCTTTTTGTTGTCTGAACGGATCCAGTGAATGGAGTTTCCAGCAAACTTTCTGATGCCCTGAATAGATTGGAGTTGGTTAGCATGTTTGTTTGACTTGCATTTATTTAGCAAACAAAACTTTAAAAGCAAAGTGCAACATTGGGATTTAATACGCTGCATACATATCACAGGTTTTTTCCCCTAAGAAGTATTTGAATTGAACTGTGTGGTTGATTGCTGAAAAGTCAGTAAACCACACCTGCACTGCAGTATATGTCTACTCAGAAATAAGTCCCATTGACCTTACGCTCAGCAGCACATGTTAATAGAACGACAGCCTTAGTGTTGACTAAATGCTTCGTTCAAAGCTTTACTGGGAAATTATTCTTTTCTGAATGCTTGTAAATATTTTAACACACAGCTCAAGAAACTGGCTAAGGAAAGGAATGAAGGGACCAAAAACTTGTTAGGCCAATTTTAGCATGTTTAGAAATCAGTGTGTTTAGCTTTGTTGTACAGTGGTACCTTGGTTCTCGAACGGCTTAGTTGTCGAACAAATCGGCTCCCGAATGCCGCAAACCTGGAAGTAAGTGTTCCGGTTTGCAAACGTTTTTTGGAAGCTGAATGTCCGACACGGCTTCCGCTTGAGTTCAGGAAGCTCCTGCAGCCAATCAGAAGCCACACCTTGGTTTTTGAACAGTTTCAGGAGTCGAACAGATTCCTGGAACAGATTAACTTCGAGAACCAAGGTACCACCATATATGCATATAGGAATGACTCACTTGAAACAATACAGTTCAGGAGCTGTGTAATTTGACTAGTATTGCATAGTATAGTATCCTTTCATTGTGTTACTAATCAATTTTCTGGCATACGCATTTTAGAAATGGAAAAAGTTCCACGGAAAAATATAGTAGTGGAAAAATTTCCACCCCATCACTGAATGTATTACATACAAATATTAGGAGGCTAGTCATGGCTGATCTTAGAATGAAATGGAATGAGGAATAGAGGAGGAGCCAAGCTTAGATAAGCCTAAGGTGTTTAGAAATTTGTAGTAAAATTTAGCTGTGTTTTACACAGGGATGTGACTTTGGTGTGGCTCACTTGAAGTTATAATGTGGCTTAAGGAGCCAAGGTAGACATTACAGTGGTACCTCGGGTTACATACGCTTCAGGTTACATATGCTTCAAGTTACAGACTCCGCTAACCCAGAAATAGTGCTTCAGGTTAAGAACTTTGCTTCAGGATGAGAACAGAAATTGTACTCTGGCGGCGTGGCAGCAGCAGGAGGCCCCATTAGCTAAAGTGGTGCTTCAGGTTAAGGACAGTTTCAGGTTAAGAACGGACCTCCGGAACGAATTAAGTACTTAACCCAAGGTACCACTGTATATGGGAACGTGAGCTTTCCTTCACAATGCAAAGGCAGGAAATCCTTCATCATCCCAATACGGGGGCAGCATTTACAGAGAAGAATAAGCAGGTGGATGGGAACCGACCCCTTCAACTTGCTGATCTTCTGCTGATAGTTCCTCCGCTGCACTCGCTATTATCTGTGGGGCTGTAACTGCATTTCTCAGGATAAAACCCAGAGTGGGCCCTAAGACAGTTCTTGAATCTGAGTCTCCCAGCTGCAAACCCCACAATGCTGCTTTCTCAAAGTGCAAGTCACTGGAGGCAAAAGTAATCACTGCCGCAGTGAGTACAGAAGCTCACACAGCTGCTTGCCTGCTAAACTGAACATCATAGGACATCTCATGATGAATGGTGAGCAGGTGAACGACACAGTTTGTGCCACTGCGATTGCTTTCTGTTACAAGCAGAGATTTAGTCATAATTGCCCTGCACTGTAACTGCAGCAAAACCCAACTCATTATCTTGCATCTGTGGCTCATGTAATTCGTAGTCAAAACTGGTCTCTCATTTTTACTTGCATGCCTTGCTGTAACGGTTAGTAGTGAGAACAGTACTGAGGGGTCTAGCAGTCTGATTAAACTTGCTGGAGCAAGGGGAAGACTCTTCGCTGACCAGCAGCAAGAGACATAGAATTGGACTCCCCAAGTGAATGAATGACTGCTCTTCCTTTGTGTAAGAAAGCAGGGTGCTGATTACTACAGCTCAGAGCTATCCCCATACATGTGCTTTTGTCTTTTGTTGAAAGAGAAACTGATACTCAGAGAAGTGGGGCTTGCATCCTGGTCTCAACTGTGAGCGAGCAATGACAACATGTGAATTCCAGACAGGGCCAGGAATGGATTAAGAGCTTCCTGTCAGTGTTGCGTATCAGGCTGTAAATCTTCAGTTTTAAACAGTCACTTGAATACTTAATCTTAGCAGTCCTTGCAACAACAAAAATCCAACAAGGCAGGCCAATATTATTCTTCCACATACTACAGATGAGAAGAGATGCTTAGACTTGAGAAACTGTATTGAAGGCCACTTACCAAGTTTGTGGCTGAGCTAATATTTAAACTGGGGTCTGCTCATGCTTTTAACCCAACACTGAAGCAGACGGCAAAGAGATATTTCTAGACATTATGGCTGTGCAGCTTCATATCAACTTCAGCCTAAGCACATTCAAAGTGGTGCATCGTGAGACAAAAGTTCCTGATTGCACATAGATGCTGATGGTGTCCAAGTTGGTTGAAATTGTTCATGAGATCCTTGGTTCATAGCAAAAAGCTCACTGACAGCATCTGCTGATTGTATAGCAAGAAAACCGATTGTGTGTGTGAGAGAGAAAAGAATGAAGGGATGTATGTGGACCATCACCTATGAAGGAAGGCTTGAGAAGTTCCAGCTGCTGAGTTTAGGGGGCAAAAGAAAAAGAAGATAACTCATCATTATGAAAAGTGTGGAGAGAATTATGAGAGAGAGAAAATACTCTCTCTCCAAACACTAGAACAGAAGAGTGATACAGTAGAATTGATCAGTCACAAATTCAGGACAAATAAAAGTAAGCTAAACTTCCCTCAATAATTATGGAATTTATTGCCACAGAATGCCACAGCAAACATGACTACATGTCTTTTTTTAAAGGGGGGGGGCTAATCTTTGCTTTATAAATTATGATTACTTCTACTCTTGAGAGAGAGAAGCTTCAGAAATGGTTGCTGTTTGATTTTAAGCTTTTGAACATGGACTATAGAACAGATTTAGAGTTCTTGCCAATTCAAATCCAGTCGGCTGTTCCAAATCCGGAATAATTTAGCTGATAATTAGCCTGCATAAGCATTTTTATGAAAAGCATTATTGAGGGCTTTTCCTAGCATAATCCAGTTCTGAGACTTGACCTCTCTATGGGCTTCAGAGTCTTGCTTGTTGGTAGGAGAAAGTGTTGAGGAATGCATATTCAGTCATACAATGGTACATAACAAGAGCTACTTGTTTTTAAATCAGATATCTAGATTTTAAAGGACCTCAGTTCATCCAGGAAGGGGCCTCCTCAAGTGCACTGACGCTGCAAAGTGATGGTAAAAAAAGAAAGGAAAAAACAAGCTTTTAAAAAAACCACCCTTAACTGCCACCAGTTCTGTATTTTTGCAGTTTCCTCTCTGGGATATATTTTTGTGCTGATGCTAACAAAAATCTTTACTATTAATTATTTGTGGTCCAGAAATGAATTCTAATGGGGCATAATAATTTTGGGGCCTCTACCCAGTGAGATGGTAATAGCTACAACACATGCCATGGGCTTTTTAAGACCCCTTGTTGTTAATAAACTGACAGTTGTCCTCACTAATTTCTCAAAAGCACTTTCCAGTGAATGCACCCTTGATTTTAAATGGTTACAGACTGGTTTGACCACTCCAGACAGCTTTCAGCAAATAAGGCTGTTTGCTGGTCAGAATTGTGTCTGCACTGCAGGCTACTTTGAGAGAGAAGGCATGATCTTGTGCCTAACAATCAGGTGGAGGTCACTTCAGGGGATGTCTCAGTCAGCACTATGTAAGTGTGCAACTGCTAGGAACCCACAGTGTGTATTGCTGGCATCACTGGGGAATCCTAGGTGGTTGACAACTATATGCTTGCATAGTGCTGACTGAGACACTCAGGGTCCCATCATCACTTCTCAGCGGTTACTGGCACGCTCTCCTTACTGCCTCCACCCTGACTGCCTCTTGGCAGCTCCCAGATTTGTATATAGCCACTTTTCTATTTGCCTCTGGTGATGAAGAATTGCCTCCAGGCGTCTGGGCAGGGAAGATTTTGCAATTTAGGAGAGATGGCATCCCCCCCCCCTTTTTATGGAGCGGGAGACAAGTTCGTAACTTTTGTGAGCTTGGCCATAATGAAGGTTCCTTCATAAGCTGTTTGTTAAAGTTAAATGCCCACCATTTGAATGACTGAAGTAAAAAAAAAAAGACCCAAATTGATAGTGTAAATATCTATGATGTTTGAGCATTCTTGCCAACATACGTTGCTGCAACTCTCCCCACAAGCACCAGAGGGGGAAGGCAGTTATAGGCTGGTCTAGGGTTTTCTCCAGATGTTTCCTCCAAAACTCACAACTAGAGTTTTTTTTATATATTTAGGTAAGAGAAGGAACCAATTAACTTTTTTTTTTAGTTTGTGCTAGTTGCCTGATGTTCAGCATTTCTCATTGACTGTTTGTATCAGGACAGAATAAAAGCACATGTTGCCCCTTTTAATCTGCAAGGTTGAATTATCTTTTTTGTAAATAGCTACCACTGAAATGCTTTAAAAACAACATTTTAATTTTTTTTTGCTAAGGTTGTGTTTAACTTTCTTTTTGTTCTCAAATATTCCATATTTGTTCAGAGTAAGACAGGAAAGAGCAAGCTGTCATCTTCCTCCTACCAAGGTCGTCAGCCAAATCCCTCATTAACGTGAGTGAAAATAGGATCAGACCAACGAAGATTATCCGGGATTGCCTGTTTAACCTGGGAATCTTGTCTGAGAAAGTACTGTGGGGTTGCACTATAGCCATAAGAACAGCCTTCAGGATCAGGCCAATGGCCCATTCAGTCCAACACTTGTTCTCACAGTGGCCAACCAGATAGCTGTAGGAAACCAGGGAGTAGAATATCGGCACAAGAAACACCCCCCCTCCACCTCCACCTTCCTGATTTCTAGCAACTAGTATTTGGAAGTATTGCTGCCTCCAACAGTGGACAAAGAGCATCGCCATCATGGCTAGTAGCCATTGAAAGCGCTCTTCTCCATGAATTTGCTTAAAGCCATCCAACTTGGCAGTCATCACTGCTTCCTGGGAGAACACATTCCCGAGTTTGACTATGTGGTGCACGAAGAAGTACTTTGTTTTATCTAAAACAAATGTTTATCCCAAACCTTTGGGAGATTCCATCTAAGAACACTGTTAGAATGCAGTAGGTGTTAGAATTCCTGCTCCATGATTGCAGTCATGGGATTTTTGTCTATCACATGACGGTGTACGTTTTGACTCCACAGAGTGGGAAGTGATGGAGACAGGATGTTTGTGTTACTGTGTTCCGTGAAGTGGGACTATTGTCCTTTTTTTTTTGCTGTCTGATGCTAGAGAGAAAGGGAGCCATGTTGCAGTGCTCCGTGTGTGTTTGTATGTAAATAAAGTAGATTAGCCAAAATGCTGAGTTGCTGAGGTCTGTTATGCAAGCTGTGAAGACTCTGTGGATCTCTAAGTGTGCCGGTGTCTGTTGGCATTGGTCTCTGTGATGTTCGGGCTGAAGAAAGCTTTTAAAGCTCCCGAATGAACGACCAGGAGGGAGAGAACATGCCAGTCGGGCATGTGTCTCTACCAGGGTCCTACTCGAATGTAGGACGAGCTCCTGACCGTAGGATCACAACTTGTACACATTTAACTCGCGCGAAAGCAGCTTTATGCGCTTGGCAGCTTCCAGAGCATGAGTAGAGAAATATCACGTGAAATCACCTCTGAATGATTGAAGACTTGGACAAACACCGAAGGCACCAGCACCTAAGAAAGCACTAGCCAAATATTTCTTGGGAGGGAGTTCTATAATTTGGGTGCTATCATGGAAGAGGTCCCTCTCTCCAGAAGCTACTTGCTTAGACAAGAGCACCAAGAAATTGGTGAGCAGGTTTCTATGGGTGAAAGCAGCCCTTTAAATACTAGGACATGTAGGACTTTAAAGGCCCAGACCAGTAAATAAATGCATATATAAAGACAGTAAATGTGCATTTGCAGATGCCTATACAGTATTATACTGGTACATGTAGCAAGGAGCTGGAATGGATTATATCCCCTCTTAACCTGTGAAGAACTTGAGGGACTGTTTTATATTTTTCTCACCGCACATTTACTGTGGAAGAACTCTTCTAAAGTTGAAACAGCTTGTTTCTTCAGTATGGGAAATTTCTTCCACAGAAACAGCAAATTAAGGTTTTATTTATTTATTTCACTATTTTGGTTTCTAAGGGAAGAAGAGACAAAGCAACAAATCAGTTCTTAACAGTAAGAAACCGCCCAAGACATTTTGCTGCCTGAGGTGAAGCACAAAGTAATGCCTCACCTCCATCCCACATTCTGAACCCAAGTGGACTGGCAATTGAATCTCATTTTAGCACTGGTGAAGGGTAACATCTTCCACTGCACCAGAGTTAGGGGCTCCAGAACAGACCGTGTGGCAACAGAGGGGAACAACAGCTGGGGAGCTCATGGAGGAACAGTTGCCTCCCTCTGTCTACTCTACCATCCCCTACTGACGTCATCTGTTGCCTTTTTTGATAGAAGTCTTATTTCTCTTTGGATTCCTGTCTATGTACAGATTCTGTACAAGGTTCTCTACTTTGACTTTTCTATCTCTTTCTCTCTCTGCTAAATCATGAAACTTAAAAAAAGTGAAGAGGGGAAGGAACGAAGAGGAGAAGGAAGAGTGGTAAATGAGAGATTGATGGAACATATGTGTGCTTTTTGAGTACCTAAGGGTTGTGAATGTACATTTATATAACAGCTAATATTGAGGAAACCATTTGTGTCGGGGTGAGTAAACCTCTGACAGATTACATGCAAGCACTTGCGCATGTGTTTCATTATTTGATTGCCTTAGGAGACTGCTGTTTAAGTTGGCAGATCAACTTATTAAAAGCAAAGCTTGTCTGCTGGCAAGATTACAGCATACTGGGGGTGGGGGAGGGCAGAGAGCCCAAATGTTGAGGTAGGGTGTGTTTATAGTGTAAGGAAACTATAATGTTACTGGAGGAAAGTAGGATTAAATGTGGTTCCAATTTATTGTACTGGGCTCAAGATTATATTCCTTCAGGATCTGGGCATATATGATGTGTGTGTGTGTGTGTGTGTGTGTGTGTGTGGCTTTTTTTAAAAAACAAAACAAAACAGGTTTAAGTCAAATATGTTGAGAAGATCTGGAATACCTTTCTCTTCAAACTTTTAGAAAGCGCAGGCATTTTGTTCTCAATGTTTCTTAAGTATTTTAGCAGCTTTGAAAAGAAAGAATGTTGATAGTAACAGAATAGCTAGATTTGCTGGTCTCACTATCCAGTTATCATGCAGTGCAAAGCTGCTGCTGCTGGTGTTGTTGCTGTTAAATTTGTATACTACCCTATACCCATAGATCTCAGGGAGGTTCTCAGAATAATCAGGGCAATTCACAACATTATGGGTCCCCCTTCCTGCCTTTTGGTTTCAAGCTATGCTTTTATCATGTGTTTGGATGCTGCTATGATAGGTTTGAATATATGTGCATACAGGGTAACTGGAAAACAAAATACGATAAACCAGATAGCCTACATAATATTTGTCCTAATTCAGATGCCACCTATATGGGACCAAAGATGATATGTGTTTAAGCATATGCTTAGTTTGGCCCTGACAGCACATTTGACCCAATTGCGTCCTGCAGTACCATTGTTGTCACTCCGTAGCAGGGAAACTGATGACTAAGATGCACAAGTGAGTTTTCTGTTGCTTTATGGCAGCAGGGGGCAATCTGTGCACATTGCCTAATTTGAAAAGCTCTCTGAAAGTGACCAGTTAAGGCACGATCTACCTGCCCTTTCCTGGTAGCCCATTGAGTGGGGGGAAAGAGGATCCTGTCTCTATCCATTGTTGGCATCTGCCCCACAGCAAGTGACTCCCAGCACTAGCTCAGAGACCACCACCATTATCAGAGCACATTCAGTGTGTTCAGGTTATTTTGTGTGGGCCTCTGATGACAGCACTGCTTGCACAAGACGAACTGTAAACCCTTTCCTACAGATAATTAAGATAGCTATTTCCACAGTATGCCTGTTATACTAGAGAGATAGAAAGCAGTACCAGGGCATCCAGTATAAGGGAAGTGACTGGCTGAAATCCTAGATGCCCTTACCTGAGAGTAAGTCCCATCGAACTCAGTGGATCTTACTTATGCGTAGACATGGAGAGGCCTGCAATGTTAAGTATCTTTAAAAAAGCATGCGGGTAACAGGGGGGGGAAATGTGGTGGACAAGAAAATAAGATCCACTCCCCGAGGGTTACTTCTCTTTCTGCAGCAAAGCAATATGAGGCGCAATAGATTAATTGCCACATCAGCGCAATTTTAAGCAGCTTTAATTGGTGCATATGTTTGTACATTGCTAATTAGGGTACAACTTGTTCTAACTGCCTGTGTGGATTCAGTGTAATAAAAAATCGTGTGCAAAGTACATGCTCAGGTGCTGTGGGCGGTGTGGCCTTCAGTTATTTTAGGAATAAGTGCACTGGCCTATTAGAAGAAAAGGTTACTAGACCTAGTTTAGACACAGCACTCTCTCTCAATCTCTCTCTCTCTCTCTCTCTCTCTCTCTCTCTCTCACACACACACACACACACCCCATTTCCTGTTTACCAGAATTCAAATACGTAGATCTTAAGTTCTCCGTACAAGTAGGGCTGCTTTATGTAATGAAAAAGTCCTCATTGAGCATTCTGCCCTAAACATCTCCTGTCTGTATTGCATGGGCTTCCTTGTGGGTCTGGCATAGTGCCATGTTGTATGATGCTGTGTAAGGGACTGTTTGCTGATACTAGAAATCTTGGGATTGTTAAATACTGGCAGCTTTAGTTTTTGTGTTAGAAAAGAGATGAGCTTTCCTACTGGCAGAATTTTGAAATTCCAGATAGTTAGGTGTTCACAGACGGGCAAGGGGTGGTTTTCTTGATATAACTGCAAGCAAGAAACCTGTATTAAATCAATTATATGAATTAGTCCCTGTCCCCTGTTGGTAACCTAAGACCCTCCAAATGGTGGTGAACTACAGCTGCCCTCAGTCCTAGCCAGCTGTGGCTAGTGCTCAGAAATGATAGCAGTTGTAGTTCAGCAACATATTGAGGACCACTGTTTCTCCACCCTGCTTATGTGATTTCAATCATTTCGATGTAAACAAAGCTGTCCTTTTTAAAAATGAAACCAGACTGAAAATAGCTCACTATAAAATGATTGCCAAAACTTGTCATAGGTATCTTAACAGATGACAAATGAATTTGCAGAGCAGTGTGAAATGTCACGGTGTTAACTCCTGTTACGAGTGACAGCTTGTTGTCAGAGTGCCAATATGAAATAAGACCAGACATTGTCACAAATACATACAGCATATGCTTATGTGCATGGTTGGTGACCTACCCAATTTTCTGTGTGGAATAAATTCTTCATTATGTCATTAAATTAGGCGCACACACAACATTTCATCTTCTAAATATGAGGTGCTAATTTGGAAGAAAGGTATTTGCTTCATCTCCCTTGTATGAGAAATAACATAGGGAGCTAAATGGCTTAATAGTACAAACAAAATGGATACATAGTAGGAACCCAAGAACAAATGCGTACATTGACAATAAATGTTTACAGTCAAGTTTCCTCAATGTTTTCTGATAATCTGAAGCTACCATTATGAATCTTGCCTCTTTTTGCTTGAATGGGTGAGAAGACTTCAACTCTTCATATAGAAGCCCACTTTGGACAATATAAGTGGTAATGAGCCAATCTGTTAAAGAATACTATATAAAATAAATCGATTAAAATCCATTTCTGTTCCCCTACTCACATGATTAGTCAAAACCTGTTTAATTTCTGGACAAATAAAGGTAAAGGTAAAGGTACCCCTGCCCGTACGGGCCAGTCTTGACAGACTCTAGGGTTGTGCGCTCATCTCACTCTATAGGCCGAGAGCCAGCGCTGTCCGCAGACACTTCCGGGTCACGTGGCCAGCGTGACGAAGCTGCTCTGGAGAACCGGCACCAGAGCAGCACACGGAAACGCTGTTTACCTTCCCACTAGTAAGCGGTCCCTATTTATCTACTTGCACCCGGGGGTGCTTTCGAACTGCTAGGTTGGCAGGCGCTGGGACCGAACGACGGGAGTGCACCCCGCCGCGGGGATTCGAACCGCTGACCATGCGGTTGGCAAGTCCTAAGCGCTGAGGTTTTACCCACAGCGCCACCCGTGTCCCATTTACAATGTAGTAAAAGGTAAAGGTAAAATACAAAATAATGTAACACTTCAGGGATAAATGCAATGCTCTCATGGAACTGCACAGATTAGAAAAAAGGCATGGATTACTTTTTAATAAAAAAAAGTTAAAGCATCAGTTTTAGCCTATAATTAAGGAATAACTAGAGACTTAAAAGAGATCTCTGCAGCATAATGCTGCTTATAGCATAATGGCCTGCTGTTGTGCAGGAGACTGATCTAAGGTTTTTGTGGAAAATACTGACACCCTGAGGTGAAGAGTAACTTCAAAGCAATCGCATAGTTATAAGATCACTTAACTCTTACATTACATTACATTACATTGTTTCCAGTAGATTTTGCTGCTCTGCATTTCCTCCTCTTAATGGTATCCCTTCTAAGCATTTTGAGAACTTTGGCCCTGTAACTGGTGCTGACCATCTCTAATGAACTTAGGAACATACAGTAGAAAGATGCCTTATACCGAGTCAAACCCATTTGCTCATCTAGCTCAGGGCTTCAGCCAGGAGTCCTTCCAGCCATACAATGAGATACTGGAGTTAAACATGGGAACTTCTGCAGGCAAAGTGTTGTGGGGGTGGGTGGGTTATTGTTAATGTTGTTGTTAATTGCTCTCTAGGCACTGAAAATTCTTTATTCTTTTGGCAAAGATTTACCAACATTACATGGTACTTGTTCCATTTTTAACACAATGCAATACAGTGGTACCTCTAGTTAAGAACTTAATTCGTTCCGGAGGTCTGTTCTTAACCTGAAACTGTTCTTAACCTGAGGTACCACTTTAACTAATAGGGCCTCCCGCTGCCGCAGCGCCACCACCACACGATTTCTGTTCTCATCCTGGGGCAAAGTTCTTAACCCGAGGTACTAATTCTGGGTTAGCGGAGTCTGTAACCTGAAGCGTCTGTAACCCAGGGTGCCACTGTACAGGTCACGGCAAGGTTGGCCTTTGCAGGGTTCAGGCAAAATATCTTTTGCATGTCTCACTTGGGTACCAAACTGGCAAGATACTACATATTTTACTAGCCAAAAGTAACCCCAGTCAATCTCTTAGGCTACACCTCAGTGAAGATAACACTTTTGGAGAGAACATGTAGAACTGTAGTTCTAAATGCCAGTTATAAATGAAATAAGTAAATGAATTATGCTACAGTGACAACTTATACATCACCCCAAAAAAGAGGACAAAATACAAGAGTATCTGCTTTGCTTGCAGAAAATCGCAGGCCATCTCCAGGTAGGACAAGAATGTCCTCAAACTGAAACCCTGCAAAGCCACTGCCAGTCAGTGTACAATGCTATATTGAGCCACAGACCTGTGGTCCTTCCTATAAGCATTGGTGCCAATTTTAAAATTAGGACTATAATTTAAATAGAAAGCCAATACTTCTCGACATTGGGAGGGGGGAGGGGGAACCCTGTGTCCAGGTGGCTGCTCAGACTACTGTCCATGCAATAATTTCCATGCCCCTGTTTTAGGGTTATTTGTCTTGAAACCAGACTAGGTCAAAACAGAAGACTCCTTCAAAAAGAAGACTGCCCTTTGTAAAGCAGGACTAACAGACAGTCTACATTAGGTACTGCTAGGGCCATCAGGCTAAAAGAGCGTGAGAGAGATAAAGCAGTTAGGGGATATTGTCCATATCCTGCTTTGTTTTTAGTGTAATTAGAAAATGCATTTCTATAGTTGCTGTTCAACAAGGAAAAATAATGCCAGTGTGTATTATTATTATTATTATTATTATTATTATTATTATTATTATTACTTCCACAGCATGCTATTGCTTTACACGGTGTTTTTCTACAGTAGCACAAGCAAAAAGAAGATAGTTCCCAGCTCTAAGGGTCTTGCAAGCTAAACTGTTACTCCAGTGCCACTAAAGTTTTGTCGCCACCTTGAACTAACAGTTCTACACTGAACATGGCATTTCTAAACAGAAGGCAGGTTGAAAAAGGTGTTGTGGCTTTTATAAAATAGTGTGTGCTTCAAAAGCAGCCCGTAGAGGGGAGTAGAATATAAGAGGACGATTTAACTACAGGCATTTTTTTTTAAAGAGTTCCAGTTGGAGCCAACTAAAAACATCTGCTGTCTTATTTATAGTTCCCAGTTCCAAGAAGTATATTCTGTGGCAGATGAAAAAGTGGATGACAGCTCATAATTCATAAAGTTACCAAAGCCTAATCTGATAGAACATAATGTACAAACTCCTCCCTCCCACACAGACAATATCGCTTCCTTTTAACACGAGATAGCATGGCTTTGCTACATATTAAATTGAGCGCTGACATACAATTTACAGCCCTTGTTATAATAATTAAACTTTAATAAAGAAGCACCATGGCCTATTATTGCAAAATGTTGGCTCAGAGCCAGCAATTTGGGGAGATGTATCTTGTTAGTGTGATTCTCAGCCAGTTTTGTTTTGTTGCTAAATCCAGTTAACTTCCCCCTCAGAATCTATTTTTGTTTCGTATTATAGGAACCCCTTGCGTTGTTGTGCTGCGGATTGCTTTTCTTTTTTCTTTAACAAGGGAGAGGGGAGGGGAAGACATTTTCTAGCATATCATTTTTTATTTTGTTAAAAATACTGATAAATGAGAGCTTTCTGGGTAGTGGGCTGGGATTGAATTAGCCTGTTCTAAGAGTGTATGTCCAACTTAGTTTATAATCAAGTTTTTGGATGAAGGCTTTGGTAAGTTGTTGGTAAGCAGTATTTCCCCATGCAAGCTTTTCCCTAAAGTTTCAAAGCAGCATTTTCTTTTAGAGGGTATGGAGGTGCTCACAGATGGAGTATACACCTTATTAAAGCAGCTTAAAATGATATAATGTGCGAAATATAAATGCATCATTTTTACAAATATAAATATTTACATTATGTTGCTCAGAAAGCAATTCTTTGGAACAGGTGCCATCCAAATGAACAGTTGTTGCACCACTGCGCACACCCAACCCTCCTATCCCACTAGACCAGAGCTTTCCAAACTTTTCATGCTGCTGACACACTTTTTAGAGATGCATCATTTTGCAACACAGTAATTCACTTTTACTAGAAACCGGAGATTAAACTAACCCACTTCCAGCCGCAGGAGCAGTGCGGGGGTGGGTGGGCGGCATTCGCGCGACACACCTACACACTACAGCCAACACACTAATGCAGGCTTCCTCAACCTTGGCCCTCCAGATGTTTTGAGACTACAATTCCCATCATCCCTGACCACTGGTCCTGCTAGCTAGGGATCATGGGAGTTGTAGGCCAAAAACATCTGGAGGGCCGAGGTTGAGGAAGCCTGCACTAATGTGTCATGACATACTGTTTGGAAAGCTCTGCACTAGGCCTTGGAAAAATCAAAATATGGGGGAGAGTTCTTGAACATTTGGGGGACAGGGCAGAAGTGGTCTGGAATCCAGGTGGGGGTGACTGTATTACTTACTAATTGTTTTTTTGAGGTCTTCTGTGGTCACCCCATGGCGGGGCAACCATCTTGTTTTCATACACTGTGCTGCTAACAACACAACATCACACTACACTAGTGCACCCCACAGTAGCAGTTGGGCTGCCGTCGTTCTGTCGCTAAACTGTGGCTTCGTTTTAAAGTTAAAAAAGATAAGGGAATACCAACACCAATCCTTGTGATAAGGAAGGAAGAGAAATTCATTGGTCCATGTTTTAATTTTCCACCCCAGGAGTGAAATGTGGATTAAAATGCAGCGGTCATTCAGATTACACAGTTCTCAGAATTTCGTGGTGCTATTTCTGCTCAAAATATTTGCACAAAATGCATACTTCACAGAATTAAAAATGCAATAGTATGTATTTAAGGGGAAATGCAGTGAAAAGCATATGAAACATACATTTTAGCAGAAAGTGTGTATAATTTGAGTGCATTTTTTTAAAACTAAAATTAAAGCATGGCAAGGATTTAATCTGTGATTGAGTACATGTGAAACTCACACTGAGCATAAATAAAGGGATCCAGCCACCTACATACATAGCTCAGTTGGTGGAGCATGAAAGTCTTAATCCCGGGTTCCTGAGTTCGAGCCCTACATTGGACAGAAGATTCCTGCGTTGCAGGGGTTTGGAAGATATGGCCATTGTGGTCCTTTCCAACTCTACAACTCTGTGATTCTATGATCTCCGCCTTTGGACCGCCTCATAAAATACCAACAGAGCAATTCAGACTGTGACCAGGCAACAGCAGGCCACGCTGGGTGACAGCCATCATTGTATCCACAGCCCCATCCATTATGCTGGTGTTGGAAGTTGAAGGAGGCAGGCAGAAATGTGCTGTGAGCTATGCCAGCTTGGAACTGCTGTAGCCATTAGGCCTTCATTGGACCCGGTGCTGAGAAAATCTAGGAGAAAAGAAAAGGTAAAATTAATCAGGTTTTGATTTTAACTGTAATGTTAGTCCATAGTCTCCTGGATACCTTCTAGTAAATGAGGTGTGTCCCCTCCCCCCCCAGCTTTTTCAATAGTGTATCTTATTACATTTTAAAGGGCAGGTTAGGTTATAATTTTGGTTCTATCCACTTTCATGCTTCCTCTAGCAGTAATGAAAGGTTTGGCTCAGAGGCTTGCCGAGCCAATCTTCCAGCTTTAACTTTCCATAGGTCTTTGCCAGGTAATAACTCTGAAAATCTCTTTTTACTGAGAACTCCTGCAAAAAGTGCAGCTGTGTGCTGGTTTCGTCTTGCAGCTCATAGCTATGTTGGCAGTGCTCAGTTGCAAGGTATGTGTCGTCCGCTCACACACGTTGCTGTTGCTAAATGCTGTTCAGGCATGTCTCTATTAACAAGAGGGGGAGAGCTTTTGGATTGGAGGGAATCTCAGCTTCTGTTTCATCTGATTGGTTATGGCCGGTGGCAAGGTAAAAATAGAAGGAGTGGAAAATCCAGCATTTCTCGCATGTCATCAGAAGCCTCCTTTTAACCTGGGATAAATGCCTAATGACCAGGGAAGAAGGCTCTTTTAAGACAAACCCCCGGCAAGTTTTAAACACCGGGGGCAGCGGGCTTCAAAATAAAACCCAAAGGGCGCACTTGGTCTCAACGTGAACGTTAAAATGATTACTTTAAGTGAAAAATTGATACTGGATTGTAGCAAAGGGATCTGCAAAGTTGCCCAGATTCTTAAGAGTGGACTTGGCTCTCCAAACCTTTGTGCTGTGAAGCACACATCAAAGCAGAAGATAGTTTTGAAGTCAGGTACAGATTGCAGGCTGCTTGTCAAGTTTCATTATTTCTCTGTGTCCATTGAAAAATTGTGTGTTGAGAGGGGTGGGGTGGGGGTGGTGGGGGCTTGTTTCTTGCCATAATCCTTTTGATACATGTTCAGTCCTCTGCTCTGTTACCACTAATCCATATTCAGAGCTTGTTTTGGCAATGGTAGCTGGAATACTTGCTTCCATTCCGTTTTGTTGCTGTAGCATGTCAGCTTTCTTAAAAAAAAAAAAAATTAAAGTACCACGAACAAACCTGGCTTCCTTCTGTGTAAATCTTGTAAAATGGTACTTAGTTCTAAGAATGTTGTAAAGTGTTTAGTTTGGCAGACAACTGTTTCCTGAGGTCTTTTTTTAAAAAAACAAAATAAAAAAAACACACCCTAAATGACTGTAATTTTCGGTTTTGTGCCAAAGGTGGAAAGTTTACTGTCGAAAGTACCAATTGCAGTATAATGGTATGGGAATTTTATACAGGAGCATCGCAGAACAGAGGAGCTCACTGCTAGAAGAGCAATGAAACCCACTACTATTAAGAGAGTGTCGTTGTGTCAGGATTGTTGGTGATATGCTTTGCTCACTCATCACTTCATTACATTACAACGTTAAGGGGTTCCCCTCCCCATCAGTTTATTTAGAATTTAACTAATTTCGTTAAAATTATGATTGGCAGTTTGTTTGAATCAGTGAGGTGGTATTTGGCTTCAAAGAATCAGGGCTGTCACCCAATTAAATAAATCTTTTTTAACTTTATGATATTGGTTGACTTACCTATGATTAATCAGTTAAATTTGCATATGTAAAAACAGTTGTGAAGTAGTCATATACCATACTAGATTCTTTTTCCTGTTCCACCTTTTTCATATGATCTTAGGAGAGTCACACTCTCTTTTCTGAGAGAGCACAGAGAATACCTGTTCTAGTGGCCATTTCCAGCTTACATATGTTTTAAACGCTGCTCAATTAATGGCAGTGTTAGAAACTGAGATATGAGAGCTAGGAGCTAAATGGCACCTTAAACACGCAATGTCTAGGTGTGCTTTTTTATAACAGGAATACAAAGCTGAAAATGAATGAATTGCAGCTAAAATATTATGTTCATTTTCCACATGGTCTCAGAAACTGCTCGCACACATGGAATTCCCTGTCGCAAAATATGCCTAGAACAATGGGAGTTTCGAACACTGATTAATGGGTGGTAGTGGTAGATTTTCAGGCAGTTTTAACTGATTTGTCTACATGGGGGTAAGCCCCATTGGGAATGTGCATAGGATAGGGCATGTTGCAGCCCTCAAAATTATATTTTATGTAGCAAACCCAGTTGATTGCAAGAGCATTTCTAGCTCCGCAGCAACCTATTTTTCTGACTGCAAAAGATAAGACAAGAGAAGAGAAGAGAAGCCTCTCTTCTAAAACATCAAAATACTTGATGCAGCATTCCTAATTTACTTCTGATCTAGGATGGGAGAACTAGGCTCAAAGGAATTGTGGTGGGCGGGTGGAAAATGCTATTTGCTTTCCTTACAGAAACCACTAGAGGGAGTAAGAGAGAGAAGGCAGTGAGCTGAATTTTTCATTCTGCCGCGTGCCTCCCTCAGAACTGCTTTGTGCACAGCTATTTTCGATGCAGATATTTTTGTGCAGAAAAACGACATATACATGGCCATGCATGCATTTGAAAAAGGCACAGTTATTGAACACTCATGTAGGTATAAAAGTACAAGTACTTTTAAAAATACAGCAAGGTGCTTTATGCATGGATATCTTTCACAACGATCAGTTTCCCCAAAATTGGCAGAGCTTCTTCTAAACTTTTATAACATGATTGCTTGTTGACAAATGCGAGATGGACTAGTGCTGGCTCCACCATGCTAGGATGGGAGTGAATGTTCTTTTCACAGAGTTCGTTCTTCTGCCGGACACATTTCACAAAGAGCACTTCAAGGAAATCTTCTTCAGATTCTTGTACTGTGGATTTCCTAGTAATTGTGGCATATTCAAAGAACTACTGTTAAGAGGAAGTTTCTGATCCTTTAAAAAATGCTGTATTTTTATAGTTCTTGTAGAAATCACGGGGGGGGGGGGGGCAAAAAGAAAGAAGGTGCGTAGCTCCCCCGGCTGGTCAAGTCCAGAGCTTTCTGTTCCATTGCATTTTGTTATAAGAAGGTTGTATAGATTTTGCACATTCGGCTGTGTTCTGTTTTGAAGTGCCCAAGAGTTCTACAGTAGTGCAGAGCACATGTTGACACAGGGAAACAAGCGCACGCTTTGTATGGAACACTAGGGTGTGTGTGTGTGTGTGTGTGTGTGTGTGCGGACATATGTGATCATGCATCTGTGCAGCCTGTGGAGGACAGGGGAAGAAAAGAGTAGGAGGAGGCTCATCAAATACAGTGGTACCTCAGGTTAAGTACTTAATTCGTTCTGGAGGTCCGTTCTTAACTTGAAACTGTTCTTAACCTGAATCACCACTTTAGCTAATGGGGCCTCCCGCTGCTGCCGCGAGCACGATTTCTGTTCTCATCCTGAAGCAAAGTTCTTAACCCGAGGTACTATTTCTGGGTTAGCAGAGTCTGTAACCTGAAGCATCTGTAACCTGAAGCGTATGAAACCCGAGGTACCACTGTATGCAACTTTAAAGGAAGGGCGAAACAAGTGCTATGATGTGGACTCGAAGACAACACAGGCTTCCCTGTGCCCGTCGCCAGTCAAGTGCACCTCCATTCTGAACCCTTTTCCCTGGGGAGGCTGCACCTGTCTTTTCAGGGAGATTACAGGTTGTGAGGGAAGCAAGCATACTGCCCTTAAAGAGCCTTTTTAGCGACAGAAAAAGTGGGTGGTGGGGTCAAGCGAGTTGGAGTATTGGTTGTGCTCTATATGCAGTGCAAGGAAAAGCAGGTGCAAGTGTCTTTTAAGGACAGAAAGGCCTCAGGAACTTGATGAGGAGCAATGAACACAGGCGCCTCTGCATCTCCCATCTGGACTTCCCAGTGCAAAAGGACCCAGAATGGAAGACGGGTGCAATTCTGCACAGGGTGCAATCCTTTCCCATTTGGCCACCTGAGGTGAAACGAGAATTACCACACCTGCCACGTCCCAGTTCTCGCCAAACTCTGCAGGATCCTGAGCGCTCCTCCAACTGTTGCCACTCGCTTTGTTTCTCCGCCTGGGGTGGGGAAGACGAGCGGCAAAGCTGCGCACCAGAATGCCTCCCCCTCAGCGGCAGAAGTGGTGTGGCTCTGATACTGCCTCATTGATAAATGGTCACATTCCAGTGGTGCCCTGTGGTACAGAGCTCCGTGTCGCCTTCATCAATTATTCTGAAAATTGAAGCAAACAAGGCCAGGGGAGGCATGTCGAGACTTCTCAAAAGGTTGCCCCAATGAAGAGCTCCAGTTGCTATTTTGGTGTGTCCATGAACACAAAATTGGATGCCTGTTTCAAACTACTATGCACTTTCCATGAACCACTGTACAGCAACTTTCCCATTTATTACATCCCCAGCATATTAGGGTGCATGTTTTCATTGCTTATGGCAGCCAGTGCAAAACTCTGGACCATCTTTCACCCAGTAGGGTCCATCACTGCTCTTATACTCTGTCTTAGCTAGCCATGGAAATATGCCATGCTGGCAAGGATAGCATTCAATATAAGGTTGCTTCTTCTTCTTTCTTTTTTGCAAGAAGTTGATAGTGGCACAGTGACCCCCTAAGCACTCCTGTGACATGGTTGCTATTCCCATCCACTAAAACACTTGTGCATGGCTATCACACATGGGCTAGACACAGATCTGGATAAGGTTCATGACCTTTCTTTTATTTATGTTTCTCAGAAATGAGTGTGCATTGATGCAACATGACTTGAGCCCTTTGCAGTGAAAGAGTTATAGAAATATAAGGGTGCATATTATTTATTCACTATTGCATGAGAAAATTCATGTTGTAGTGATAAGTGGTTCAAAATAGCAAAGGGTGTAGCATGTGTTTCTGAAGTTTCATTCCAGGCCAGCAGAATTTCTACTGAAACTATGCTGAATATGTCCTGAATTATTTGGGACTCAAACTTCTTCTTCTTTTTAACTAAGTGATTATGTATGGTTCTAATACGCAAGGGCTGACGAGAAAACTGTTTGCCTAGACTTTGCCAGCTGATAAAGGGAATTTGTTTAGTGTTTAAAATTTAACCAGCTGCATTTCATCTCATGCTTTTCATGAACTCTTAACTGTACCTCAGCTGCTTCATTTTAAAAAAAAAATATTTTTTTTTATTTCTCCTTTCCTTTACAGCTTTTACACTTCCAGATCTTTCAGAGCAGTTTTCACCACCTGAAAAGGCGGCTCCTCTTCTTATCAAGTTAGTGGAAGCCATTGAAAGAAAAGGTATGCATATGGTGGCATGGGGCTAGAATATAACTTTGTTGTGTGCCTGGTCATTTGGATTCACCCCTTTGAGCTTCACATTTTTGAATTGCAAATGGGAGGCCTAAATGTCAGGAGGCATATCAGGTCATGCGTAGTCTTGCACAATACTCATGTGCTTGCTTCCAGTGATGTTGGAATTATACCCAAGGTCCATAATAATAATAATAATAATAATAATAATAATACAGTCACGTGCTGCTTGAATTGTGGCTACTTGGTTTATTAAAGTAGTAATGAAGCTTGAACAGCTTGCCACCTCATAACTGGCTGTTGAGCTATATTGAAATGAATATGTATTACCTAAAGACAAATTTGGAAAAGCCCTAGAAATGTGAAATGTTTTCAAACAGGTAGCAAAAACTCTGTCCTTGAAGTGAGTAGTTGATCCACGGGTAGGGACTGCTTGGGAGCATTAAACCAGCTTTTCCCCAACCTGGTGCCTTCCAGGTGTTTTGGGCTACATTTCCCATATAACCCAACCAATGAACGGTCAGGGATAATGGGATTTGTAGTCCCAACAACATCTGGAGAGCATTAGGTTCGGAAAGGCTGCCTTACGGGGGCCCTGCTTCCCTCAGGTGTGAGAAGCCAAGGCACAGTGTTTGGGTTTACTTTGAATGGCGGGGAGTCCTGGAGAGTAATAATGTCTTTTGTATTCCCTGTTTGTAAACAAATATACCAACATCACACTTTGGAGGAAAAAAACTCATAAGGCAAAAAGCACGATTGCTAAGGCTGTGTCAGTTTCTTAGAAAAAAGAACAGCCGTCAGAGTGCTTCAGTGTTAGTAAACTTCAGTAGAAACTCTCACTTCTCTGTCTGTGTGTGTCAAAATTCAAACTTGCTACAAATCTTTCTTTGCCCTTCCCATTTGCTGAAGAATGTTGCCAGAGGAGAGAAATTTCCTCCCATCATGAAACATGAATTTTCCTTCTATATTTTGACTAGCATTTCTGTTACTGTACAGTTCCCATCCCAGCATGGATTTATTGTGTATGTGTGTTCCTTTCTCCATCTGACTTCTTCAACTGGTCAGCCTCACCTCCGCAGTGTTATTCCATAGGTTTAGAAGTTAAAACAGGACTGACTATTGGTGCAGGTTAAAAGGCAGATGGTTTGAAGGTTGTTTGTTTGCAATCTCTTAAATGTAGTTCTTGCACTCATGACTGGTTTACTTTAAATGCAGCCATTGTTAAATGTCACCAACTTCAAACACTTCTTAATGAAAGGAAGGAGCACCTGTACTGAGAACGGCTGTTTCAAAATATACAGGCAATGAGTTTGGGAGGGTTTCTTAAAGGATCATGCCAAACTCTTATGCTATTGAAGCATCTTCCACCAACTAACTATTAAAGTTTTGTTTTGTTTTAAAGTCAGAACTGATCATAGATCTTCCATTTCATGTTTAGTTTGGCCCTGATGCAAATTTCAAAGTCAAGAATTTGGATAAGGTATATTTTTGTAGTGTGGCTCAGCTAGTTGTTTGCAGACATGTCCTGCATGGGGTGCAATTAGATGTGAGAGACTAAGAATGTAATTACAGGAGCATGTGCAAACTCCTGCTATGCAGTGGCATTTGGGTGAAATACGATGTACAAAAAGCCACAGGATTTGTTTGAGGGTGCTTGTTTCTTTGTTTTAAAAACCCAATCTGCTCTGTTTTTAAGGTTTGGAATGTTCAACACTGTACAGGTCACATGGATCAAGCAGTACTGGTGAATTGAGACAAATTACTGAGTGTGGTAGGTACAAATATTAATAGATTTCAGGGTAATTCACATGGGACAAATTAATTTAACATGTAAAACTTACACATGGCAGAGCAGTGTATTCCACTGGTATTCAGTTACAATCTTAGTTTTCACTGACCCCGTGTCCCATTGACTTCGTAAATTCCTGGGATTAGGCCTACTTGGAAATATCTTGGTCGGTAATAGCTTTTAAGAAATATGATTGGCTGAGGATGCTGCTATAACCTAGGTTAGGTAAGGTAAGATTTATGCATGGCTTCCCCACTAAAAGAAGTCTCAGAGCAGTTTACGAAGAAAGTGAGAAATACAATGAAAAAATCATATAAACATTATTAAAAGAAATATAAGAACACAATATCATAGTGTTGGAAATTCTGAAATGCCCAGGAAAACACAAGGAATAGAACAATGGCAAGGTTGGTGCCAGTGGGCCTCCCTGGGGAGAGAATTCCCTAGGGACCGATCCAGTATATCCATCATTATTACTGCTTGAGCAAAACATGAGAAATAGAGCCTTGTGTAATCAGAATATTGATGAAAACATGCTGTAAAACTCCAGATACAACCAGTCTACAGTTGTTCAAATCTTCTGGGTCTGAGGAGGATTTCTCTTGGACCTGAAAACATATTTTTAAACTTTGCATCCATTTAATAATTTTGTTCTGCATACACAGATCACACACACACACATGCATATATGTGTATATGCATTTGAATATATATCTGAAATTTTAGAGATGTAAAGTAACTTTCAGTGCCAGCCAATAAAACATTTTCTTGTTTTCACTCTGGCCTTATCATTGGTTATAATGCTTTACTGTGCTACTGTTTACACAAAATATTAGTATGTAAAACATAGCTCAGTTAAAAATACCTTGAACTCTTAGAAGGCCTAAAACAGTCTACTCATATTGCCCCATTAGTGAGAGGTATAGCAAAGCAACGAAGTCTCCTGGTGGACTTTGGACAGATCTCCTTGACTGGAGTATACTTTTGTATGTTATTTGTATGGTGTGGCAATGTATTTTCCTTATCATTCATGATTCCTTGAATGGTCTTACAGGTGACTAATGCAAAGACATTCAATATGTTTGTAAAGGTTCTTGTTTATTATATATTGCTTTTTTTAAAAAATGATTCCTCACCAGTGTGCAGATTCGCCATGCTCTCTCTTAGCGGCCTGTTGCCATTACTTTCTGTAGACAAACTTGGCATTAGAGGGGGGCATGGGATGTGATTGCCAAACTTCTTACATTAGGAAGCGGAGCTTTTACAGTACGTTGTCTTTCTGCAATGTCTCTTACATGTGTTCTACATAAATTTTAACTTCTGTGGAAAGCTCCTTTTTAGATAGTTTTAAAAGGTATGGAGCCCTAGGGGAGGGGAGTAAGAACCGCACATCCAGGCAACAGAACATCCAGGCAACAGAACACCCAACTGCCGTCACTAAGCAGCTCAGCCAATGCACAGTAGCTCCCTATCTGCCCTTGGATAGTATAATAAGACCTATAGCCCTGTAGGAAATTGGGGATATGCTACCCCAGAGCAATGACTTGCATGAAACCGGGTAGAAGCAGCCTCAATGATGTTGTGTCGCATGTTATTTTAAGTAAGCTGCCTTCTGGATCGAAATAAATAAATAAAAGCACATTTTGGGTGCCTTGTTTGCTACAAATGGTTCATTATAAACCAAATTGAGATGCAAGCATTGCTTTCTGTTTTGCATGATCAAGAAAACAGTAGGGGTGGGGGCAGGCAGACTGAACATGCTCCAGAGGCAAAGCATGACTGGGACCTGTCTCTCCCTCTCTCAGATTTTTCTGCAGTGGATTTTGATGCCCTCGATCTGCAGGTTTTATCAGATGCTTTGAAGAGGTACTTTGTGGACTTGCCAAATCCTGTCATTCCAGCATCTGTTTACAATGAAATGATTTCCATAGCACAAGGTATGAACGTAAGCTCTTTTTTTGCAAATGCAGAATTCATTAACAGTGGTCATTTTTGTTTCCTCCGAGGGTAGGTTATGGGAGGCTTAATATACCAAAAATCGGACCTTTAGACAAGACTTGCATACATTTTTTGAGCCCTGCAGAAACACACACACATTCCTTTTGGATCTGCTTTGTACACATAGCAAAGATCTGCCGCCCAGTCCTGTTTCCCTGGCACACGTATCTAGTTGAAAACGTTTGTATGTTTGCATGTTATGCACTCACCTTTCATTTTCATGTTAACAAAATCTCATGGAATTTTCTTAAAAACATAATGTACGAAGCGGTTCTTAGTGTTAAGAACTCATTGTGACTTGGCAAGTACAATATTTGTACAAACCCTGGTTAACAAATCAAGGATTTGTCTGTATGCAGAAAGAGCTAATTGTTAACCTTTTATCAGTACTTGCGAGGTAAATGTATTAGAGTAGACAAGATTCTGAAGTCCATTCGCAATTCTGGGATACAGTGCAATAAATATGCATAGATAAGGCCCATCTCTTTTAGTATTGAATTCAGGCAGTAGGACGCAACCTGTTCAGTGGCAGCCTTGATAGTTATTTGCAAATTCTAGGGACAGGATATTGCTGCTAGTGTAACCTTCAAAGTTACAACAGCACCTCCGATGCTTATCAGCTACATCTCAGAATTACCCAATCATGTATGATACTAAACAGAAGACAGACTTCTACCAGCACACCCTGAACGTTTTGTGGCTTTTTACCAAATGATACTCCTGTTTCACTATGACTTTTGTATAGTTGATGCTTTTTTCTGTCCATGCTTACTAAAGTTCTCATCGTTCAAGAGAAGAAATAATTCATGTCTTCCTGTAAAACTTGTTGTTGAATTACACGAACCTCATTAGAAAACGTTCATTTCTTTGCAGAAGTGCAAAACTCAGAGGAATATGCTCAAGTGCTGAAGAGGCTCATCAGATCTCCTAATATACCTCAACAGTATTGGCTCACACTCCAGTATCTACTCAAACATTTCTCCAGACTTTGTCAGAACTCTACCAAAAACCTTTTAAATGCAAGATCCCTAGCTGAAATTTTCAGCTTTCTGCTCTTCAGGACCCAGGTAGCAAGGTAAGGTGTATGCATTTATTTAACTTACTTATTTATAAGATTTCTTACCTCCCCACCAACCGTAAGGTACTAGGGTGAGTTAATAATGAGATAGTATTTAATAAAGTTTCACTCAAAGTATATATATTGAAATTAATGGCCCTAACTTAGTCAGGTTCATTAATTCCAGTGGCTCTACACTAAGTAAACCTTAGTTGAATGCCAGCCATTTAATCGTGCAGTTAGAAAACCAATTACAGTTGCAAAAGCAAGTGAAATCATTTGTATATGTGTCTGATATTATTCAGAATATTCAACTTGTTCAGTGCATGCTACCTTGTTTTAATATAAGACCAATATTTTTTTACAGCTCTGACAGTCCTGAACATCACATAAAAATCCTGGAAGTGTTAATTACAAGTGAATGGAATGAAAGACAACCTGCACCAGGTAAGGAAATCTGGATTTTGGAAGCATTTTGAAGTATATTTTGGAGAAGGCTGTACTTGTGGCATTTTCTTACCCTCTGCCTTTATTATTATGTTGAATTGGGAAGTCTGAGGCAAAATGGTTTTGCCTTCTCTGATGGTTAACTTCAGGTAGCAATGGGCACAGCTGAAAACCAAGTAGGCTACTCTGGCAAGCCACACTGTCCATAAGGCAGCTATGGGGGATCTAGGGCAGTGCACGGGAGCCCTTCTGGTATGCAATTGTACCTTCCTGCTTGCCTTGTTTTCTGATTAAGCACTGAGGGAAACTCCTGTGTAGAAATATCCAAAGATAAGATACACAGTCGTAGCATGAGCTGGGTTCAAATGTCACCTCTGCCACAAACTCCCTAGATAGATTTATACAATCTACTGTGCTGTCCCCACCCCTGTCTGTAAGATAAGGATGGTAATCTGTCAACCAATTTTTCCTTGCTTAAAGCCATATGTCATCACAACGCAGAAGAGTATGGCTTACCATGGCTCCATGAATGTGCTGACTCCCAGTGAGGAGCTTGCACCCATTTTGCTCCTCCCTGTGCCTTTTTGGCTCCTGCAGGAAAGGTTTGGCTTAGGGTTTTGTCCAAGCTCAGGGTCAAGGTTAACGTCACTCTCCTGAAACCATGACCTGTAACCATAGGGCAGACCTTGGCACTGCACTGACATAATGTTGGAAAGAACCTTTCGCTGGGGGATTTTGTATACTGTGGACATTGCAAGGTGTTCTTTGGTGACTGATGACCAAATAAGCAAACTTTTGGCACATACTTTTCTTTAAAGCAGATTTAAGGTGTTGTCTGAAAAAACTGAGCGCAGTAGAGGCTGTCTCAGGAACGGAATGTGAAGTCAAACAGATGTGATTTGGGTGTATGAGCAGAATTTTAAAAAGCAATAGTCGGTTGAAAACGGATACCCAGAAACAAATGGGATGTATTGGTACTGGGTATGAAAACTGTGAACTGTAAGGGAGACACAGAGATCTAAATAGAGACTGTTATTTGTGGCGCAGCATCCCTTTTGCTTGTATTTATTTTTGATTCAGATTTGTCATGACCAATGGCTAGCACAGTAAAGTTATTTGGATTGGATTGGATTGGATTGGATTGGGTATGATAACTGTTGCCTGCTTTAGAGAGCTGTTGTAGGGAATTGTGAAAAAAATGCATGTGAAATCTGACGGCAGCTTTGGTCGTTGAATTGACTTGGTTGGTTGACCCTTTTTAAAAAACTGGATTATGAAAACTGCAGGCACTCAGTTCTATCTTGGAATAGACACCAAGTGTCAAAGGATTCTTCCAAGATGGTACCTTTTGAATCATATCCATGCTTACTCCCCCTGCTCAAACCTTGTTGTTGTTGTTGCTTTGTGAGGAGAGGGGAGCATCATGGCTTCAGGGGAAGAGAAGGAAGGAAGAGCCTCGTTTCAGGAAAGGAAATTCACCTGCACTGTGCTGTATTTCACCCTATGTTTTTATTAAGGAATATTTTAAGTACATTATCAATTGACATCACTGTAAGCTGTGCATTTATAGATTTCAGTATAATCCTTTATCACAACTCACCTGTGCTTAGGGAAAATTACTGAGTCTAAGTGATTTGGCTTTAAAAACATAATTTTAACTCTATCCCCCCCGCTCTTGGCATCCCTTACTCTCACTTTAAGCCAGTCTACATTCTGATGTTTGTCCAGCAGAGGGCTCCCCTTCTAAGCTAATAATAAGCAAGGCTCATATAATTTTAAACGAATAAAATACCTTGCTGAATTGTGAGTCCCATACTTTGTCAGTGCTTCTTATTTTGTATGTGTTTTTTTTTTGGGGGGGGGGATACAGACCCCAGTGATTTCCTTAGTGTAAACTAAGTAACACAGACAAATATTGCGGTTGGAAGTTGGGTTTGTATTCAGCCTCTGCTTTTAGATGCTTTGTGAATCCACTCTTTCAAGCACCATCAAACAAGTAACCAAATTGTGCAAGATGTGGTAAAATTCTGGTTTTTATGGAAGAGAAGAAATCAAATTGCAGGCACAATGCACAATCCTGCCCCTCTCTTCTGCTTTTTGCATGCAGCCTTGCACACGCATGAACGCATTAGCTCGACACACTGAGTTCTGTGTTTTTGGTGCCATCTATAGGGGAAGAACTAAATCAAGCCCAAATTAAATATCAGATACTCCTATAAGTTTATAGGGGGGGCAGTGAATACCATTCCTGTATTCTAAGTCAGAGTAGATGGGAATGGACTTTTCTATAATCGTTGAAACAATATCATAAAATGGAGTCAACAGGTTTCTGTAATTAATAGCAGTTTCTGTAATTAAACGTGAACAGTTTAAGCAGATTGCCGTTATAGTACTCAAATTACATTAAAGTGGAAAACATAAATGTGTGTCTCTCCCCCCCCCCCAATTAATTTTCTGTTCCCCATTAAATGAACCAGAAGCTTATTTCCTTTGTGGTTGTATAACATTTTTATTTTTGTAGTCAAAGGCAAGGAGATGTGAAGCTCATAAGGAAGTAAAATCTCCCAAAATATGTTTATGCCCAAATTCAGGACTTTTAATGCAGTTTGATCCCAGACCAACAAAGATTGAGAATACCAGTTGGTACCCGAGATGCCCAAAGTTGCCAAAGTATACGTATAAGTTATTATGGTCAATTGACTAATAAATCCTGATTTGATTGATTGATATAAGCAGGCACTGCAAGCAAACAGAGGGGCTGAGTTTCAAGTTTAAACTCATGTAACTTGAAAGCTCTGCGACTGTCGATGTACCCAGGTTGAAGGTAGCGGGCATTCAGGGAGGGACTGGGGACTTCAAGTTGATATTAATTTGACTCAGCAGTGTGGGGCTTCATTTTATGGGTCTTCAAACACCACCTGTCGTTGTGGTCCGGTGAAAGTGTGTGGAAGGTGATGCAGTGAATGCTAACAAGCTTCTTCTGCGCTTGTGGGCTCTCAGAGACGCAGAACTTTACAAGGAAGGCTTTCGTTCTGTTTCTCTCCCCCCCCCCCCCCCAGCTCAGCCACTTCCTGTGTTTTGCTGCTCATAATGCTTTTCTTGACAGTCATGTACTTCACTTCTGCATGCAGCAGCCAGCTACAGAGACTATTTTAAGGCCACTTACAATGGTCTTCTCATTTACTTGGCTAAAATGAGACTGGGTTAGTCTTGCATTGGCCACTTGTTAGCCGATGACAACTCTGACTTTGACTCTGCCTACCCTCCCCCCCCCACCCGCCTGAAATCTCTTGCTCAGCAAATATTTGAACCTGCCCAAGTTAATCATGAAACCGAGATCTTTATCTCAGAGAGACGTGCAAGCTACAGAGGACTTTTTTTTTTAACTACTAAAATCAGTGATGAAATAGAGGTGAGCAGATAGTCTGAGAAAGCCACAAGAAGTCAATTCTTTCTAAAGCGTAAGAGGACTTGGAGGTTTTTTTATTTATTATTATTATTTTGCACGTTGCTGCTTTTTCTTCTGGAATTAAGGAGCTAGAAGACACTTTTGGAGACACTTGATTCTTGTTGCCTTCGGTTCCAAGGATAGTTTATTTTCTTGATATATATTGGTACATGTAAATTCTGTGGAGCTGGGCAGAGGCCATCTACAATCTGGCATTTTCAGGTTGTTAAATGCAAGGGTGACCAAGTGCCATGCACAGTATACAAAGTAAGTGACTCACTCTCATTCTCTCTCTCTCTCTCTCTCTGTATATATATACAATCTTTAAATGAAATGCATGTGATCGTATATATTATGTGTGTGTATGCGTATATATAAATGCATGCATATATGCATTGTATATGCATACTTTTACTATATATGATCATTAGACTAATCAGCAAGCTTTGATAGTTAAAATGTGATTTGAGTGAAACTTGACACCTGTTCAGTTATCTGCTGGAACAGTGGAAAATCACCTGTCTGTCAGTGTCTTGCCTGTTCTGGTTTTCCACATCGTGTCACAGCAAGCTAGACTAGTTTGGGTCAAGCAGTAACCTGATCATATAAGTGTGGCTGTTCCGGAGTTTAGCCAGTAGTAAAACTTTTGGTGAGGGAGTGTACTTACTCTTCCCAGTTTTGCTGTTAAAAGCGAATTGAGGGGGGGAAACAAATAAAAAAAGACAGCGACTGCCTCGTTGGGCTACGGGAGCTAGCTATGTGTGCTCTTTCGTCTTTCAGAACCTAATTTAAGAAATGTACCTTGGCAACAGAGCTGTTTGGATAGCAGGTGGGCTAAACCCTCAAGTTCAATGTTTGGACTTGTGTCTGGGACTGTCTGAAGTGTCCTGTTACATGAGGCAAATGGAAGGAATCTCTGGAGCATGTCCACCTAAAGGGTTGTAGAGGAGGGGGAGGCTACTGTGGGATGGGTTTAAGCATGGCTGTTGCAGGGCAACGAGTGTGTGCATGTTTTTGCTGCTGTTGGTGCTGCAACCATGTCCTTACATGCTAGTACTTGTCTTGAAGGATAAAAATGGTCAAGAGTTCATTTGTATGTGCAGTGCTTAGAAGATGTGAGTTGGCTTTCATTCGTGGTGTTCTGCAATGCACATCACCTAGAGTTCCGGTATAATAATTGGTAAGGCAACAGTAGTACTAATGAGTTAAATATTTTCCACGTCTGGCTTTCTGTGATGATAAATGTGTAAAATATTGGAATCTCTGCTTGGTGACATCTTTAAGGATTTTTTTTTTCTGATGCTGAGTAAGAAATCACCTTTTAAAGAAATAATAGGTCGCTTTAGCTGTGAGAGAGCCTGGAGGAAGAGACCTGAGAAAATATCCAGTCTAAAGCAGAGAAGGCTGACCAAGAATTTTTGCTCTTCAGGAATTGCCAAAATGGCAAATGCCCTGATGACAGCAGGTCAAAAGAAGCAGTATGAACTGCTTCTGAAATATTCTGAAATATTCTGTTGTATGTGTTGTATTTTGCTAAGCATTTAATGATGGTGGGCTTGATTTAATTAACAGGAAGTTGTTTGGTTTTACTCAAAACAGCAAAGATAGATTTTGAGTTTCTACGTTTTGTGAAGAATTAGACAATTGCATTTGCCAGCTTTCCTGAAAAAGGGCATTTCTTGAAGGTTATTAGTACAGGACCTTGTGTTTTAAAGAAGCAGTTGGTACCCAGACTTGTGCAAAATGGGCACTTGATAATATATCTGGAGCCTCCGAACTTTCCTCTTGTCAGGCTTTTATTTAAAAAACACACCCATAGTAGAGTCAAAATGTGCATGGAAGGATTGCAGTCAGTCGTAAACCCTGCTAGAGAACAGAAAGCTGGGACAGAGATGTGATCTCTCTGTGCACCAAGAAATCTACTGTATTGAAGGAAAACGCTTCCTGCTGCTGCTATCAGCCTTTTGTCAACCTGCCAGCAGTGGAATGTACCAAGCAGCAGACAGGAAAGATTAAAGGGGGGTGGGGGTGGAATCAGTGTAAACTGAGAACATGTTCAGTCGTCTTTATAAATACAATCAGGTACCGATCACAATTCTATGAAGTGTCTATTCTTTCTGAAATGACAATTGTTATAAGATTAACAAGGAATAAGAGTTGGGGGGGGGGGATGAAACAGGAGTGGTCCAGTGACATTATTTTTGACATGATTGGCTGGGGATTATGATGTAATAGGTTACAGTGCAGCCCCTTATAGGTTTTAAAATGAATTCCAAGACACCATTACAAAGAGATCCCGACTGTTTCCTTCTAAGTGAGCTTACTCGCTGAAACTCGTACAAATGTACAACACTGTCTGGAACATGGAAGAACTGGACATAGACTATCCTAGGACAGATATAAATTGTGGCACGGATTTGATGTTTTACATAGAAATGGACCCGCCAGGTAACATTGCAGCATTATTGTCGGAGGCTGGCATATTCTGGATGCCACAAAAGCTGCTCTCAGAGCAGAACTGGGATTTGGGGGTTAACTTGCTGCTGTTAAGTTGCTGAATTAAATTATCTTTAGTGCATGGGGGGAAAAGACAGCAAGGGTTATTGTTCGGAATTCTCTTTGGCTTGCTTAATGAAACTAATTGTCATGTGATTTCTGTTTTTAGTTTTTTCCTCTCACCTGTAGGTCTGTTTGTTATACTGTACAGTAAAAATAGCCCTGCTTTGTGTGTCTTGATGTCAGGCAGAAAATGCTGTAAAAAGCTGCTTTTTTCTCAAAACAATGACGGCGTTTTAAATTATTGGGCACTGTTATTAAATGTTAGGTGCCACCATTTCTACTTTCATTTAGCACAGGATAGGAAGATCAATGGGCTGCATCAAACCTTTGAAAATACAGCATTCATTTTGATGTGCATCTTTCTCACATGCATTGTTGTAGATAAATGAGATTGGAGTTTCCGTTAAAGTAAATAACTTGATTTAATTTTTATTTAGTCCCGATTCCCCACCCCTACCCCCATTTTTAGCTAGTAAGCCAGAAATCCTGCAGTATCTTCTCTGGCACCCACTGGTGTCTGCATGCAGGTTTGACATTGAGAAACAGGACTGTGGGTTTTTGAAAAATCAGTATTGCCGTTTGGAGCAGTTTTATCCTATAGAATGCTAAGATTAGAACCAGGGATATTGGGGTCACAGATGGACTCCTTAAAGTGTATTTTGGCAAGATCAGAGGATCAGAGAAACCCAATTCTTTCCCTATAGCAGTGCTGTGTAATTTTCCAGTTGTTATTAGCCACAGCGGTGTTGAATCTAGAAAGCAACGTAATTCCTCTTGGATGATTAAATCAGTATGTGTCTGTAAGCGTGTGTGTGGAGTGTAGCATAATTTTAATACATCAAATGATAGAAAGATGTGAATACCAGGGATGGGAAATGAGGTGCAAAACTTCAGTTCATATCTTTCCAAGTCCAAATTGCAATTTGTGCTACGATGGGAGTGGGGGGAGGAGCTCTCCTTGGCTGAGAGCACAGGACTTTTAGGTAACCAAGGCTGCAATCATATGCACACTTATCTAGAGGAAACCATGTTGAATGCAGTGGGGCTTACATTTAAGCAGATGCATAGGATTGTGTTGAAATTATAAATGCTTACTAAAGGAATTAAGCTTGTTTCCTGGCAGGAGAGGGAGAAGTTTCAAAAGCAGTGCTGATTAAAAACAAATAAATGAAATCAAAGCTGAAATAATTTTCTTCTTCTCAATGGATTTAAGTTGGTTGTCATTTTAGAACGTAACCTACCTGTACACAGCAGGCAGTATAAATATATATGTATTATTGTTTTCATTTGCAGCACTGCCTCCCAAACCTCCAAAGCCTAATACTGTAGCAAATAACGGTATGAACAACAACATGTCTCTGCAAGATGCTGAATGGTACTGGGGAGATATCTCAAGGTAAGGACACCTTTTATCTTGCTAATTATATATGCACATTTTTAGCATGTTCTCTATTTGATAGGAAATGTTTAAAACATTGAAGCACAGGTTTCGGTTGCAGTGCTTTTAAAGAGTTAAAAAGTATATATTTGCAAACCAGAAGTACAAAACATGCCAGAGCTATATTCTGTTAAACATTTCTCTGTTGGTTACTTACAACAGGAAACAACTGTTTTGCAAACGTATCAAGAGCACCAACGTTTGTTTTTACATCTAAAACTCTTTGAAATTCATACCAAAGAATAAGAATACAATTGCTTGCAGTTCACATTTTCGTACATACAGGAGAGTACATACAAGTAGTCTATTACTGAGTTCTCTTGCTATAAACTTATTGGAACAAGTGGGAAGTCATTCTTGGAATAACAGAACTTGGCAGGTTTTCATATGAAAACTTCCTCATACTTTGACTGTGCTGAATAAAAAAGAAAAAGGGAGAAAATACGTTAGTAGTGAAAGGCTAGTATTTTTAGAAGCTAAACCAGATGTTGCTTTGGTCCCATCACAGGGAAGAAGTGAATGAGAAGCTTCGTGACACAGCTGATGGCACCTTCTTGGTACGAGATGCCTCCACCAAAATGCATGGGGACTATACGCTTACACTAAGGTAAATATCGTTGCATCATCATATTATTTACTGAAGTGCATTTTACATGGCTGGATTTAAGAAACATTTTCCCCATTGAATTTTATTTACAGGAAGGGAGGAAATAATAAATTAATCAAAATATTTCACCGAGATGGGAAATACGGCTTTTCGGATCCATTAACATTCAATTCCGTTGTTGAGCTAATAAACCACTACCGGAACGAGTCTTTAGCCCAGTATAATCCAAAGCTGGATGTTAAATTGCTTTACCCGGTATCCAAGTATCAACAGGTAAAAAAAAAAAAAAAGATTTTCATCTCCTCTTTTGCTTAAGTACAAAAATATTGTAAGATTGTCTCCTAACAAAATGAATGTATGTGTATCTGTGAAGGATAGGAATTGGGGTGGGGATGGGGGTATGGTTACTGTTTAACGTAACATTTAAGTGCTCACTGACCCTAACCCATGTTAACCTCATCAGATTCAAGAGTAGGTTTTTGCGTACAGGGAAAAGCTCATGCCCACTCAATCTGTTAGTCTAAGTTGCCATGGGGTGTTTTGCTAGTACAGACTAACACAGCTCCTCTTCTGGAATGTGCACTGTTATCTAAAGAACTGTCTCATTTATAAGTGGATCTGCAAGTCTTGGGTGTGCATCTGGATGCAGTGGTAGGCTGGAAATGACCAAGACTGAGACTGGATCCTGGAAAGATAGAGACCCTGTAGGTGGGCATTCCCGGGTCTGGGAAAATGGCCATTGGCCTGTTCTGAATGGGGTCACATACCCTTTGAAGGAGCGGGTTCATGGTCTGGGGCTACACATTGATACAACCTTGTCATTAGATGCTCAGATGGTATCAGTGGCTACACGTGGCCTCTACCAGCTGTGAATGTTACTGGGCAGGTACAATCTGGCCACAGCAGTCCATGTACTAGTAACCTCAATGAGTGCTGCAATGCACTAGATGTGGGTTGCTCTTGAGTTTGGTCCAGAAGTTCTAATAATGGTGCAGAATACTGCTGTTGCTACAGTGTTGGCATCTGCTGTTGTTTTTGTATATATTTTTACTTATTTTTTGTTTTCTGTGCACAGCTTATGGTATTTTTGTAATGTGAGTAGTTTATAAATCTGTTAAAACAAAAAGTTGCTGATCTGAATAGTGGTGCACATTTCAGGAGCTCCGTAAGTGGCATAAGCAAAAGAAACACCTTGGACTAATAGGCTAATCACGACACGAGCTTTTTCTTGTAAGCAAGAAGAACGAGCCGTTGCATTTAATAAACGCATAAGCTCATTCCACAATAAAATGTATGGGGTATACATCTGTTTTCGGTGGCAGCATTGTCATGTGCAGAATCCATGGACGTTCATTCAGTCAAAAATTATTGGCTGATTACTGGTGATGAGGGGGGCTGCTGCATTATACATGCCTGTCTCTAGACCCAACCCATTGCATTGTGCGAAACATTAATGTGTAAGAAGCCTGGTCTTCATTGGACATGTATCTCCATGCGCTTGTCTTTCCAGGATCAAGTGGTTAAAGAGGATAGCATTGAAGCAGTTGGGAAGAAATTGCATGAATATAATATCCAATTCCAAGAGAAGAACAGAGAGTATGACAGACTCTATGAGGACTACACAAGAACATCTCAGGTGAGTAGTGTGGAATGTCTACCATGAACTCAGTCTATAAAGCACTCTGCCACAGTGGGGCCTCTTCATTTCAGTAGGAATTATAACAGGAGCTACGATGACCTTTGAGTGCATGTTTTGAAAGGACGAAAAGTGTACGGTTTGAATAGTGGAGCAGCTTGCCGCTGTTTCACTCCTCATTTGCTTGGCCAGTGTCCTGCTTGTCTGGTCACATCCAGGGGCACTAGCACAGTAGTAATTAATAAATTTTACAGTAAAGATTATATGCTGTTTGAATAAGACAGCTGGGCCCAGCAGGAAAGTTGACATTATCTATACAGACTAGATTTTACTAGTGTGAGTAAACCGCTCTGTTGATATGGGAGGAATCTTCTACTTCTTAAAGATTTGGATATGCCTTTCTAAAAAATATTATTTCTGGGTTATAGTAACACTATAGTTTTGTGTTTTATGTCTGCACACACAACTCACTTGTAATTTTACTATACCTGGTTTCGGACTAATGCTTATATTCGTGGTAATAATGACTTCCCCAGCAAGAAATATGTTTTAAATAATGATACTCTATTTCTTATCAGAATAACATAGTTGCACAGGTATATGAACACTGTACTGTTAGTACTCTTGAAGGACTTCAACTTAGCCACTGGAGTCAGGAACAGTATCTAGACTGGACTTAATGCTTTATGGTACTGTCACTAGTAAACCCTTGGTTTTAGCGTTTATTATAGCCAAAATAAAACCGGGAAAGCTAACCAATTGCTCAGACGAACTCAATATTAGAGTAAAGTGTTCCTACAATTGAAAATAGTGATGATGCTGAAGTATATATTGGGCTGGATCCAGCCTGGAAGTTGAACTAAGTTCCTATTGAAATCAGCAGACCTACAGTTAGGAACAAAACACGACTTAGTACACATCCAGCCCATAGTATATAGATATATAAACGTCTTTATTACCTTTGCTGTAAACCTACAAGAATGCAGTGAACAAATGATGGGATTGATAGAACTACTTTAGATGTGCCCTGCAGAAGTTTTGATCTTTTCTCTTTGAACACCTGGTTTTGAATGTCCCTGCAGTTTAGTTTGCCATGTGGTGGTGGTAGTGGGTTGAGAGGCAGGGCTGCTGTTCAAAAAACACACACCAGCCTATAGCATCCTTGGGCACATAGAACTAGTTGCTTGGCTCCTTGGAGCTCAGCCAAGGCAGGGTGGTAGCTCATTGGTGGAGCACATACATCCTTTGCCTGCAGCAGGTCCTAGGTTCACTGGCTAGCATCCTCAGGTAAGGCTGGAAAAGACTCCTCTATGAAACTGTGGAGATCCACTGCCAGTTAGAGCAGACAGTACACAGCTTGCTGGACCACTGGTCTGATTTCAATACACGGCAACTTCCTGCGTTCTCCAAGTTGATTTCTCAGGCATCAGAAAGAAAGACATGCAGGCAACCACCCTTGCTACTTTACTGGCATTAAAAAAAAAATACCCTATCACAAATGTGCTTCAGGTATAGAGCATCCAGCCCCTTTCTGAGTTTTGCAGAAACTGAATTTGCAGCTTTTCTCCCCTCTAGGAAATTCAAATGAAAAGAACTGCTATTGAAGCATTTAATGAAACCATAAAAATATTTGAAGAGCAGTGCCAAACACAGGAAAGATACAGCAAAGAATATATTGAAAAGTTCAAACGGGAAGGAAATGAGAAAGAAATACAAAGGTTGGTAGCAGTGTCTAAGATTTTTATATTTAAAGTGCTCTAAAGAAACTGCAAGCCTGAGCAGTGCGTTAAGAATCTACCTAGACTCTAACATGCCTAATTTTCCCCTCCAGAATAATGCACAACTATGAAAAGCTGAAATCTCGAATCAGTGAAATTGTGGACAGTCGGCATAGACTGGAAGAGGATTTGAAGAAGCAAGCTGCTGAATACAGGGAGATAGACAAACGCATGAACAGCATTAAACCAGACCTTATACAGCTCAGAAAGACCAGAGATCAGTACTTGATGTAAGTGCCTATGAGTTGCCAGATTTTTAAGTGTACTACTTCAATTTGAGTCCATTTTTAATGCGTATTACCATGACTAACTATGCCTTCAAATTTACTTTTCAGGTGGCTGACTCAGAAGGGAGTTCGGCAAAAGAAACTGAATGAATGGCTTGGCAATGAAAATACAGAAGAGTAAGCATCCATAGTCTTTTTGAGCACTTGTATTACGTCAGTTAAATTATGACTCTATACATTTTCATTGATGGAATATGAATCTTGTAGTGTAGGGACTGTGATACTTGGTCTCTTCAAAAAGGCTAGCTTGGGCATCAATTTTACTTTTTGGGCTAGTGGAGAGCTAAGAGTTGAATCCTTAGCAATTTCATATTTTGTAAAAGAGGCTAAGGTGTCTGATTCTCCCACAGCCTTGATACCACAAGGTGGTTATCCTTTTGTCCATCTTAATCCTAGGAAAGTAGAGGAGATGGTCAACCTTTCATCTATTTTTCTATCTACACAGAGGTCTGTGGCACCTCCTGTTCTTTTCAGTAAAGAGAAGCTCTCAGTTTACTATTACAATAGCAACCACATTATATTACTATTACTATTGAACCCACAATAGTGATTTTGCAGTAGCTGCTAAAGCCTTAGAGCAAGTAAATGTGAAGGCAACAGGGTTTCAACAAACTTTGGGTGCTAGCTCTGTTGGAAAGGTATTTGCTATGCTGCTGCTGAGCATTCCAGAATGTGTTTTCAGTAAACCAGCAAAACAAGGCAGATTCTAAATTCATAGAGGAATGCTTTTAAATAACACCAAGGTGAGATTGGGGGAGAAGCAGTGGGGGTTTTTTTACTCCCTGTTAGCAGGAACAGTCTGCATTAATCTAGGACTTGCTCCACTTTATTTATAAGACATATTTGTGATTATGGATCGCAATCTGTGTTTTGGGTGAATGCATAGTCTTGTTTGAAAACCAGAGCCATCTTAGCGGACCCAAAGCCAGCTCATGTTGAACTGTTTTGTGCTGACAGCAGGGCAGCACCATTAGTGATGGCAGTACTTGAGAACTTCTCAGTCATGTTGGCTTAGGTCCAGGCTCCATTCTCACTGGTGGGGGAAGGGAGATGGCTTACCTGTTCACTCCACATTCTGTCACGCAGCCTCCTTGGCATTACTCACATTGATCTAGACAGTTGGAAGGAGACTTTCTGCCCATGGAAGGCAGTCTGGATCCAACCTGTTAAAAATAATAATAACTGGGTTGTTATCATAATGTGAAGCTGACAAGAATCCTCTTCATCTTATTTTGTTGCCACATGGCAAAAGTTGTAGGCAGCAATTTGTACATCCTGTAGACTCCGGAAAACAATTCTGTAGTTTGTGTCTTACAATATTTGGAAGACAGTCATGATGATTAGGAAATTGATTTCTTCTCAACAAAGCCTGAATCTTGCCCTCATGTACAGTCGCACCTCTTGTTACATCAGCCTCCGGTTGCGTTTTTTCAGGATATGAACGCAGCAAACCCAGAAGTGTATACTTCCGGGTTTCGCCGCATGCGCATAAGCGCTCTGTGCATCTCGCCCATGTGTAGAAGCGCTTTATCATGCTGCAGACATGTGCAGAAGCAGCGCTCTAGTTGCAGACTGTTTGGGGTGTGAACAGCAGCCCAGAACAGATCAAGTCCGTAACTAGAGGTACCACTGTATTTGAGAATGCTGATGGGGCCAACGTTTGAAGTCCTCAATTAAATAATTTGGGTGGAAGTGTAATAAATATATTAAAAGTTAATTTCATCTGGTTCTTAACTATTACATGTTGCTTCTCCTCCCAATAGGCAATATTCTATGGTGGAAGATGATGAGGATTTGCCTCATCATGATGAGCGAACATGGAATGTAGGAAATATCAACAGAGGCCAAGCAGAAAATTTGCTGCGTGGGAAAAGGGATGGCACATTCCTTATTCGGGAAAGTAGCAAGCCGGGTTGCTCTGCGTGCTCCGTTGTGTATGTATCCAAATGTTTTACCCTATTTCTAAAGAAGTGGGACATGTAACATCCTCAGTTCCATTAAAAATTATCCATCTTGCAACACTGGGCAGAATTCAGCATCACACTCTTACAATTGTTCTGTCAGCATAAGCAATGACTTCTTGCCAGATGGAACAAACTCTCCTATCCCTGTGTGCTTTTCTGGGGGATCTCCCAACCTCTCCAGAGCCAATTGGGCAGGAGGAAGGAGAGAAGGGGAACCCTCGCTGTTCTAGTGGGACTCGCATTTGAATCTGACTAATAATGTTTGAGGTAACTGGGATAGCTCAGTTGGTAGAGCATGAGACTCTTACGTTCAAGGTTGCGGGTTCGAGCCCCTTGTTGGGCAAACAATTCCTGAACCTCATGATCCCTCCCAATTCTATGAGGATATTGTCCTGAATCTTAATATTTTAATATTATCAGTTACCAACATTTGTGGGTCTTTTGTACTCACCTATGTGCTCTCCTCCCTGCTTAATCTCTCTTAGTTATATGCTTATCAGCTCTGCTGGTGGAGAAGACCCCAATAGCCAATGTAATCTGCTTGGCCGTGCTCCCCTCACAATCCCATACTTGTTTGCTTGAGTAGCCATGTTTTTTAAATGCTTACTCTGCCAACCCAATATGTTCTGCACTTTTAGGCCTAGCTTCACTTCTGAGTGAAGGCCGGTTGTTGACATAAAGATGTGCAATTAGTGACTTGAACACGAATTAAAGTAAAAATGTTCAAACTTTATTCAGTGATACAAAATGTTTTTGAATAAGAGTGTCATCCTATACATGTTTACTTTGAGGTAAGCTCCATTGAATTCAGTGGGACTTCCAGGGGTGTATGTATAGGATTGCAGCCAAAGTTCAAGAAATATTCTGAGAGATGTTGAAATTATTTCAGAGAAAAAGGGAACTTTAGGTTATCTGTATGTGGAGCTACAAAATAAAAAAATATTATTAGTTAAAGGCGAGTGGAGCAGTGGGAGTAATTTTAGGTTATATAGTAATAATGGAGCAAAGGATTTTTTTATTTTCTCATTTTAAGGATAGCTTAAAATAAGAAGGATGTATCTTTGGCAACCTAAAAAAAATCTTTCTCTCTTCTTTTAGTGTGGATGGTGAAGTGAAGCATTGTGTTATCAACGAAACACCTACTGGGTTTGGATTTGCAGAGCCATATAACTTGTACAACTCGCTGAAAGAACTGGTGCTACATTATCAACACACATCGCTAGTGCAACACAATGACTCTCTCAACGTCACACTAGCCTATCCAGTATATGCACAGCAGAGGCGATGAAGATGTTAATAATACTCTGGGGTTTGTCTCTTTCTATTAAAACACCCACAAAGATCATTCAACAATCTTGATGCCTCTGGGTAGAGAATGCTCTTGAGTTGGAGCTAAAGTGTCAAAGCCATCTGTCTTCAGATGGGACTGAAGCTTTCTTCGCAACCGCAGTGGGAGAGAATGCAGTTTTAAGAGCTGCGAACACACATTTCTAATCTAAAGTGCTTTCTTTTTTAGAGGGGAAAAAAAAACTAAGCAGAAGGCAAAACACATCAAAAGAGAAGTGCTATACCTGTCTCCCTGCAGGGACATAGAGGCCTTTAACCATGGTGCTTGCTGACCACCTCGTCGAAGCTTTAAGAGCTCAAATGTGGGAACTCTGAAGACTCCAAAGTGCAGCAGGGGCTGTGTAAAGTGGCGTCAGAATTTCTCCGTTGCGACTTGGGTGATGTGGTTGCGCACAGAGGATGCGGATTGCCAGTTTTGTGGATTGCTGGTTTTCTGGCGAATGATATGTAGCAGAGCGGCACTTTCACGTTTTAAGGGACACTTTAGAAGACACTTTAAAACAGACGTGGGTAACATAAGTGCCAGGAAGTGTTTTTGTTTAGACATTTAAATTCCTGTTTTAAGAAGATATTTAAGACTGAATAAAACTGGACTTTTATGGCATACAGTATATATAATATGTACATAGTTCCGGATGACTAAATATCTTAGATGGATACTGTCAATACCAAACTCATTCTGTTCACTATTTGTTTCACCGAAAGCTAAATCCTTACACTGCTATGCAATACTTCATTTTCTATAGGCTGTATTTGTTCAAGTGTAACTAGAGGATAAGCTTTTTTCTTTTCTTTTTTTTTCTTTTTGTCATCTCAAAATGTTCCCTTAATACATATTTTGGTGTTATTTTTCAGTTCGTTCATTATTTCCTCGGCCATTTTTTAAAAAGTAATGTGCAGGATGCCAGTAAAAGGTGGTTTCAGAATTAAAACTATGAACTATTTTAACAGGGTCCCCCCCCCCCCCGCCTCACTTTGTATAGAGAATTGGGCTTCTAGCTCAAGATTAAAATTCAAGATTTTCCTTCTTGACTAAATATTTTGTTGGGCAGTGCCTGATAAGCTTCAAAGCTGCTTTATTCAATAAAAGAATATATGAACATTGCAAAGTATCACTGAGTCCAACAATATTGTTTGAAAAATACCTTCAGATTATGGAATCCCAATATATTTTATTGGGAGAGTTTTAGATTTCTGTGCTGGTTCTGTTTGTATTTGAATGAAGACAAATGTCCATCTTGTTTTGAATGCTGCAGAAAAACAGTCAGAAAACATTGGCTACTAGGGTAGTTAAATCAAGTTTAATCCAGTTGATTGACATGTGAAATTTTGACCAACAGTTCTAGACACTTCATCAAGATATTTTCCATATCGTATGGAAAAATTGTTTTTGGTGGGTGGTTTTTCAACCATGTGTGCATTTGGCTTCCATATTTCATATTTTTGTGAATAACAGAGTATAATTAGGATAATTTTAGGAAGCCCCGGTTCTGTGACACATATGTCCCACAATTAATCTTTTATTACTTTCATATCTCTATGGAGTAAAACAAAAAAAACAAATATAGTCATCTGAAAAGGCAAACAAATCAGGTACCAATGGATTAAAAGTAATGAAAGAAACATAAAACCTCATTGTTCTAGTATCTAACCAAATTCTGCATTTCTTGAGCAAAACTATAAAAATCATAGTTGCGTTTTCTGTTTTACAGATTAGTGTTAAGGAACTCCGGAAGTCTTTTTTTATTTTGTTTTAGTGAATAAGCGAAAAGAAAATAGATATTGTGGAACTTTTTATGGTTTTGACCCATTAGGTAATCAGTGCTTCTTAAAACAAGGCACTACGGACTCCTTGCAGATATATCTTTCTTGTTTGGTAACACTATGAATAAATTAGCTTTGTTCCCTCAGTCCTTTTTTTCCCCTAGTATCTTTATATTTGATGCTGTGAGGAGTTTGTTTATCACTCGTTGGCTTTGCTATTCTGAGGAATGCAGTGTGTTTCAGAAAACTTCAGGGTTCGGTTCAAACCCCTTTGAAAGCCAGCTGGGGCTTTGCCAACCTTGAAGAAGGCTTTGGCGGGAGTTTGGGCTGACCCTGCAAGCTTAAATCCGCTTTCACTGGAGTAGTCTCATGAGAGTCAATGGAATTACTCCCAAGTTTACTCAGGTGGAAGTAGGCTGAGAGTCACATTTCATCTCAAGGAGCACTGATCAACAAGAACTATACCAATTTTAATCAGTTCCTTTATTCTTCTCCACTCAACAATAGCGGGGAGGAAACACATGCATTTTGCTCCAGTGATAGTTCTTGGAGGGCAAATTACAACTGGTCACTGAATAGCAAGTAGTTTGCTATTGTAATATGACCCGAATGCACTTTGACAGAGATAGTTGTGCATCTGTAGGTTGGCTGCACCTGACGTATTGTCAAACGGAGAGGTAGCGCTGCGAGTTCTGATCACCTGTTTAAAGGGAAGAGAAGGCTAAGCGTAGGTCCATTGGGGCAAAGAAAGGTGATGCCTGGATTCAGTCCTCACACCACCCAAACTAGCCACCCCAATGATCGGCACTGCTCAGTTTGACAGTATTTGCTGTGCCAATTTTGTTTTGGGAAACCACATGTGCAGTTTTCGGAGCTGGATACAGTGTCTCAGCCTTGGAAACTGCATAGCAATAGCCTTTTTAGTTTGTGGTCCCCAAGCTAGCAGTGGATGCACATGCAAAACTCTGCCTCTGTGCGTTGCCTCTCCCTCTCTGGTTTAGCATGCAGAGACAGAACCAAACTTCCGAGCTACCAAGATAATTAAACTGGGTTTCTAGAATATGAACTGTCCTGTCTATATCCCGGTGCACCTAAAATGAATACAGCTACTACAGACAAAACAAGTTATGGATTCCTTAACTTGAGGCTTAGATTTGTTGTCTCTGATGTTACGTGTGTGTGTGTGTGTGTGTGTGTGTAAGGACCACATTCTCACCGCGTTTTTCAGCATGAAGTGAAACTTTACTCCCAAGTTTCCCATGTATTCAAACAACCTGGAAGGAGCAGGCTGGATGGTGTTCTGAGGTGTATTTTAATGTTCGGATTTTATCGTTTTGTGTGTCGTTGGCTGCCCTGGAGATTCTTTGTGCCATTTGGCAGAAGATGCATTGCAAACAAAATAGAGAAATGCTGTTAACTGGAAGTTTGTATAAAGGGGGAGTGCTTTCTTCTTGTTTTTTTTACAAGGAGGAAAAATTGAGTCCAGATCACTATTTCCTATTATAAAAGGGAAATGGAAGAAGTCTGCTGTATTCAATCATGGTACTTAACTGAGCATATTTCAACGTCTCTAACTTTTATTGAAAAAGGAACACACAACCTTCTCCACCCCTCCTGCCCTTCAGACTAGGGAAGAGTGAATGATCTGGATGCACCTGATTTCAAATTCCAGCAACTTGGTTCAAAGACAGAGGGAGCTTGGAAAAGGTCATGTTTCTAGAATTTGTTTTAATGTGTCAAGCCAAATCTTATGTTTCAGTGTCAGCTGTTATGTAGAAAAAGTGGCTTTGTCATGTAATTAACAATGAGCTTTGATGCTTTGGGGAAAGGGGGGTCATTCTGATGTTTTTCATTGAGAAGAACATTGGTTAGTTTTAACACAGTGCTTTTGCTATGCATGGTATTTGTTTGGGAAAGTGATTCCTAAGGTGGCTTTTGTTCAGGATCACTTTCAGAATGGGCAGTTCCAAGCAAAATGCCTCCCATGGGACATGGTTAAAAATGCAATATTCCATTTTTTAAAAAAACCATACACACAAAGAAACCCCACAGATCTTGTAAGATCTGCTTTTAAAATGAGCCAGATACAAAATTAGGAAAAGTTACATTACCATTTGTCCCTATGAGACTGCATTAGCTGCCCAACATGCTGCTATTTTTATTCTTGGTTTTTTTCCCTCCTTAGGAAAAAAAAATAAGCTCTGTTCTGTTAAATGTCTTTAAAACATTAAAAATTTTGTTGTTTTTAATTTTTGTAAGGGAGGCAGAAGCTAAATGGATCACTTTGTACATTGCCTTTAAAAGGTAAATGCACCTCCTTAAAAGATGCTGGCTTTCTGAAATTGATGGAGCTGTGTCCTGTTTTTAAGTTGCTTAAAAAAAAATTGTACTAGATCTTCAGCCAGAATAAAGATTGTTTTGCAACTGCGCTTTATGTGTTGAATCCTCAATGAGGTCATTGTCGCATTGCTGACTCTCTTGTGTGCTTGGTTTCTGATGATCAGCTGGTAGTCTAAAGGATGGTAGCATATGATTTCTCCCCAAAGGACCCCAAGTATAAAGGGAAAAATAAATATTTCAACTTGGTACCCCAGTAGATTAGTAGTTCCTAGTGCATGAGATGGACATACATTCCTTTTTATTTGGATGGTAAGAGTATAATATGACCTTCTGTGTGGTACAGGTAACTTGCAACCTACTCACATGTAACTTGTGTGCACTCAGCTTTATGCGCTTGGCAGAGAGTGAGAGAGAGTGCAGGGGAGAGTTCTGGGGGAAATGGTTTAGCAATCCCACCAGCAACTGAACCCAACATATTTTTACTATACATATTTTTGACTTTTCGCGCAGTCCCCAGAACATAACCCCCGCATACGTTGAGTCGCCTGTATTATAATAAAACTTCATTCACACAAATGGCTTTTAGGATAAAACAGATTATTAGTGTCCCCTCTAGACTTTAGGTGGCAACCAGGTCTTGTGCTTCTCTTTTGAAACATGAAGGACTTCCAAAAGCAGATTGTAATATAATCATAATATAATCATAATTTACCCCTCCTATCTGGCTGTGTTTCCCCAGCCACTCTGGATGGCTTGCAACGGAATATTAAAAACATGGTAAAACGGTTTTTTTTTTTAAATGATATTTATTAAAAGTTTAAAAATTACAGAAAAAAGAAAAAAGACAACAATAAAAAAGAAAAAAAAACATAGAAAAGCAATACAACAATACAGCAAAAAGAAACAAAGAAGGAAAAGAAAACTAAAACACACATCCAATATTCCATATCTTTACCTTTCCTTTACTTGTTTCATCGACCTCCTCACACCTCCCTTTTTTTGTATTCTAGTTCAATTCACTATTTCAGCAAATTCTTCCCATCTTTCTCAATTTTTTTTCTATAATTTATCTTAATGGTCTAACCTTAAATTTTTTCATTTTAACCCGTTATCAATCAGTTTTTACTTAATTCTTTGTTGCATTTCTACTAAAACCATATAGCTTCATTCCAGCATCCTTCTAACACTCATTAATTTTACAATGTTTCTGTAAGTATACTTTGAATTTTTTCCAATCTTCTTCCACCGACTCTTCTCCCTGGTCTCGGATTCTGCCAGTCATTTCCGCCAGTTCCATGTAGTCCATAAAAACATGGTAAAACATTAAACATTAAAGACTTCCCTAAGCATGGCTGCCTTCAGATGTCTTCTAAAAGTCAGATGGTTGTTTATTTCCATGACATCTGGTGGGAGGGCGTTCCACAGGGCGGGCGCCACCTCCAAGAAGGCGCTTTGCCTGGTTCCCTGTAACCTCACTTCTCACAGTGAGGAACCTCCAGAATAATAATATAATAATAATAATTTATTATTTATACCCAGCCCATCTGGCTGGGTTTCCCCAGCAACTCTGGGCAGCTTCCAACAAAAGATTAAAATACAACAGTCTATTAAACATTAAAAGCTTCCCTAAACAGGGCTGCCTTCAATGTCTTCTAAAAGTCTGGTAGTTGTTTTTGTCTTTGACATCTGGTTGGAGGGCGTTCCACAGGGCCGGTGCCACTACCAAGAAGGCCCTCTGCCTGGTTCCCTGTAACTTGGCTTCTCGCAGCGAGGGAACCACCAGAAGGCCCTCGGCACTGGACCTCAGTGTTCAGGCAGAACAATGGGAGTGGAGCAAATCTGCTTGAGACACTTTCACACAAGCAGGTCTGTGGGCAATTAGTGTTCCAAATCAGCCTGCTGTTTTTTGAAGAGGAATCCGTGTTATACATAAGTGCTGCTGCTCCACATGGAAATTTGCAAGCTCAGACTTCCTATATGGATATTGAGAAGTGTGGGGGGAAACAGGTGCGAAGGTCCTTGGTGTATCCATGTGTTGGTGCTGCCTGTTACATCTGAAGCATCAAAAATTGTAAAAAGTTATTGGAGGTGGTTTCAGTCCACTGATAATCCTTGTCTAGAGGGCCACAGGAACAAAGCTCTTCAGATACGAGTTGCTGAAGAAACTCTTTCTAGCTAACTGTACACACCCGATTACATTATATTATCCAAGGAAATGATGATGCACATTACAGCAGTGGATAAGCCGGGAGGTTCACTAATATTTTGGAGCCAGTGGGCACATCTGGAATTTTGAGGAAAGTGCGATGGGCACCAGTCACAAAATGGCTGTTGTGGAGGTGTGATATAACACAGCTTAGCTCCTGCATCTTAAAAGAAACAGGAACACGCCACCCCTTCAGTGGGGTGGGGGTGGGGGGACAGATCTACTTCCACAACCTCTCTGCTCACTCACAGAGAGAAGTTCTTTGTACTTCTGTAAGCTAGGCATCTAATCCTGGCATCCAATGAAGTGTGGGTATGTTCAAGGGGACATGTTCAATGGAGGAGAGGCTAAGCTGGAGCAAAAAGGAACTGAGCAGGAAGAGTTAACATGCCCATGTGCACTGGGGATTTTTGAGGAGATATTTATTGCGTCCTTCACTGGTTGCCATTGGCAGTTCTGGCAGGCAAACTAGTGCCCATGATCTCTGGGTTGGTGACCCCTGCATAGATGTTTCACTAAAAGAATATACTCTATTACAGGCATGTCCAAAGTCCGTTTGGGGGGTCTAATCCGGCCCCTGTGGCAGTTTATTTCTTGAGGTAAAATCCCTCAACAACTTCAATCCTAAAAAAAGGTTAACAACTTTGGTTGGCGCTTTGGTCAGCCCTCACAGCCCTTCACTTCATCAAATCCGGCCCACTTTGAAAAAAGTTTGTACACCACTGCTCTGTTACCTTCTGAAAGGACAGGAGCTGTCTGTCACCCACAGGAGGAATATCTGGGAATATGGAGTTCTTTTGGTTGTAATGGGCACAGACCAGCATCCTATTTGTCTCTCAGTTTCCATCCTTTTCTCCATCTGAAGTTGGAGAAGGAATATACATGCACATGAAAATCTCTTGTTTGCAGAGTATGAGCTGCTGTTTCCATCATTATCTCTAGGTTTCTGTTCGCTTTAAGACTTAAAATAAAATTGTCAATTCTGCGGCTTCTCGTTCTACCCTTTCTCCAGTTAAACCAATGTAATGCCATTATCAGCGTTATTGCTTAACGTTTAAGTAACAGTACAGATAATGGCATTATCCTGGTTTAAAAGGGAAAGGGGGGAATTGAGAGACTATAGTATTTAGCATTTTATTTGATAATTTATTTCCATCCTACCTTTCTGCCCAGAACTAATCTCTCTGCTTAGATTACTTTGTTAATTAGTCGTCCCTTCACTCCAGGGAAAGCTAAGCTTCTTGTGTTTCCACAGCTTTTCGTTTGTTGTCATGTGACTCAGTGCCATGCATTCACCATGCACAGGATTATTTACAGAGCTAATCTCCCTCCCTCTGGGTTTCAGAGTGGCCTTCGGTTCTCTACACATCCAATGGAATTGCCTTCTAAAAAGACAGGGAACCCCCCTGCCTATTTGGATCACATTATATGTTATAGTGGGGAACTGTGGCCATCCAGATGTCGTTGAACTTCAATTTCTGTTAGCCCCAGCCAGCATGGACAAGGGATTGTCTATTTTCCAAGTCCTCTAGAAAACAGCTTAATTTGCCAGGCCTGATTCCAAAGTGAGCTGGTGAAGTTCACTTATAACTAATGTGACCTCACATTGTGCACAACTGACCCATGCGCCTCTCTTTAAACCTGCTCAATGGAAAGAGTGCATGCTTTGCATCCATAAAGTACTTGGTGCAACTAGGAACTCTAGTTGGGTATCAGGGCTACTGAAGACCTTGGAGATCCATCACAGTGGAATTAGACAAAATGGAGCTAAAATAACCATTGGATGAAATGACTCCTGCTGCATTAGCCTCCTTTGTTCATAGCAGATAAATTGCAGCAAGTTGTCTAACTGGTGATAGCTCAGTCAGTAGGGCATGAGACTCATAATCTCAGGGTTGTGGGTTTGAGCCCCATGTTCGGTAAAAAGATTCCAGCATTGCTAGATGACCCTTGAAGTCCCTTCCAACTTGACAATTCTATTATTCTATGATCATACAAATGCTAAAATAAAAGAAGGAGGAATAAGGACCCAATAATGGGAAATTAGGATGATGGATGGACTTCCAACTAGACCAATTGTTAAAAATGTGTGCCTCTTTAATTAGGTGTTGGATGCCCACTCACAGTGGGTGGTCTTTAAACTGGCAAAACTGCACCTCCTTGTTTGGCAGTCGATAGCAGATGGTGCAAAACATGCCATCTGGACACACCCTCATTCATGTTTTCTTGTTCAGCAGCTGAGTCTGAGATAATGATTTACTTAAAGACCACCCGGCATGAGTTGGTAGCTGAGCATCGATTTGAACCCAGGTTTCAGGCTTGCTTTGTAATCTACTGATCTAAATCAAACCATTGCTCCCCTAAAGATTCGAAATGTACGCAGTGTATTCTGTATACGAGCAGCTTAGACTTATAGCTGTAGACAAATCTGCAAAGGGCATTAGGAAGGCTATGGAGACACAACTGGGACAAAGCTATTAAGAATGAAAACAGCTGTTGATACCCTGGGAAAGGATAATGCACGCAGGAAAAATTTGAACTTTCCAAAGCTCTTGGAAGTCTAATAACATTTGAATCCTAGGATTACTTGAACCATCCAGGGAAGATCCTCAGAACGTGTTAATTGTTTGTCATTGTGATGTGCTAGGCAACCTACCATGAAAACCCAAATGGTTCCTAAGAACCTCAAGGACTAAGATATTTCAGAGACATGAATGGAATGGCTGGGGTTTCATTTTTTTAAAAAAGAAGCTGTAATCATATTATACTGGACGTGATCCTTAAGGACTTGAACTGAGACAATTCTGGTGGGAATGTCTTTATTATTGTTTGTACTGTGATAGCAGCTACAACAGTTTTGGACATATCCGCCCCGCCTCCCCAGTAACTCTCCTTCTCTCTACACACACACACACACACACACAGAGAGAGAGAGAGAGACAGAGACAGAGACAGAGACTTACCCAGATATAATCACACCCAAAGAGCACAGAAATGGGCAGAAGCTGCGCCACATGCTTGGTGTCTGAGTGTGCATTAAACTGCCAATGCAGTCCTCTTGCTGGAATGTGCAATGCATTTGCAGCTACATGCACACAAATCTGGTAACAATACTGAGGTCATCAAGGAGGGGAAATGTACAAGTTGCTTTGTTATCACCTTCAGCCACACAGACATTCATTTCAAATAAACAATGCTAAAGCATTAAAACGGGCACACACACACAAAGGTTATTTAAACACAGTGTTATATATTCTGAGTCAACAATCCAGCTGAATACATTTGGGTCTGGACAGATAAGAACAATTCAAATTACCTATCAAAGTGGTGAATATTAGTTCATTTGCTGCTGTGTTTTTCAGATACGCAATCTTCTTCAATAGCATAGATGTCCTGTACTTCCCAAACTCTCCAAATCTGAGTACAGGTGGAACTAGTTGTAAACTGTACCATATACAATTCTAGTCTCCTCACCTCAAAAATTTGAGTATTGTAGAGTTGGGAAAACATTCAGAGAGGGGCAGCCAAAATGATCAAGGGGGTGGAGCAACTTCCCTGTGAAGAAAGGTTGCAGAATTGGGGCCTTTTTAGTTTAGAGAAAAGGTGAAGATTTTTGCTGATTCCCTTTGCTTGCCTAGATGGAGGGGTGTATGCAGGGCTTTTTTTCAGCTAGAACTTTCCGGAACTCATTTCTGCACCTGTCAGGTGGGTGCAATTGCCATTATAAAAGAACAAGGGAAGCATTCATGGTAAGTTCCGGCACCTCTTTTTCTAGAAAAAATAGCACTGGGTGTATGAGTGTATGTAGAAACAAACCTAGTATGCAAAAGGTTTTGTTTTTTTAATTTGCATTTTATGCTCCTCCCACTTTTGCCTCTGACCCCGCCCACCACTGGGACGCTGTGGCCCCCAGAAGGTTGATCAGAACAGAAGGTTCAAGAAGGTTCCACAGCCTTGCTCTGGCCTATAATCCCTTCCCCCTTACAAACCGAGGTCAACCTGACTGACGTACAGGAAGGAACTCTCTCTTCAGCCTGCCAAAGCTAACATTCACACAAAGAAGCGTGACGTTGATTTAACCGTACTTTGCCCTTGTCTGGGTGGCGAAACACTTGGTTGTCATACGACATCCTTCAATTTACACAGAGCAACCTTTTAGATCCTAACCTGGCATGGAGATTATACCGTTCAGCTCTTGAGTTGACAAAGAATCCCTTCTGCTATTGGTTAGACCAAGTGGGCAGGTGCTCAGCCTCTCAGGAAATGTCTGTGGTATGGACTTGATAAATGGCTTTCTCTTGCATGCTCAAAGATTGCCATATTTTGGTATGAATGATCGCCCACTTTACGTATCAGGAGGTTCTGAATACACATGGCAACAGGTGGGTCTGCATGGACTTAGCTCCAGCCCTGGGAAATGCACAATATATTGTCAACATGGATAGACAAGGACATGTTGTTCTTGCACACTGCCAGTGACCTTTCTGCGGCAAAGGTAATGCACACAAGCTTAATTTCTCGCAGTTCTCGGCTTTTACAGAAAGATTCTAAGAGGCTCAGTTTTGAACAAGATTAAACATGTTCACAGCTGAAATCTAAATGGGTTCTGCATCGATGTTGAAATGGTGTGCTTAAACGCTGATCCCTAATGCAGCCTACGCGAGACCCACAGCAAATGTTCTCCCCAGCTGCTGCTCTTCCCATTAGCAGAACGGGGGAGAAGAATTAAGGAATCACCCTCGCAAAAGAATCTGTAGCCAAGGCTTCAGTAGCTGTCAGTTTGTAGGCGGAAGACTATAATAGATTGGAGAGCGACAGGAATTCTGAACTCAGGTCAGCTCCTCCAAACGCAACCATAATTTTGGGCACTCTTTATGTGTGCTGCCTTGGTTATATTGAGAGCCTCACTTGCAATTCATTTTCAGGAAATTCTCAGCAGCCATGAGAGCTAGAATCTTAGGAAAAAAATTAACTGAGTTGAGTGCCACATTGTTTTATTGGCAGTGCTGCAATTTGGCTGAAGCTGAAGTGAAGAGCATTGCTTCTTTGAGAGGTGAAGGGCAGCTTCCCAGTGGCAGATTGTTGACACAATGGCAGATTGTATTCAGTGGCGGAGCTTCATGCTCCAGCACTGTGGGCGGAGAGCAGGCGGGGCTGGCTCGTGTCCTGGGGGTGGGGCGCCCAGCATGGGTGGGGTGGGGCAGCCCCGATGGCACCCTGGGGATCGTGCTGCTGGGGGCAGTGTGATCCCCCCGCACTCCTCTTCCTCCGACAGTGATTGTATTCAACATTGCCTTAAGTTCAGATTTAAAATGGCAGGTGCTAATGCATGTGTGTGGATTGCAGTGCCGTTGATACTCTTGTTTGCTTGTTTTCTACACAAGATAGCAAAGATGGCAAAGGTGTACAACTAGCATTTGACAACAAGTAAAAACACCTCATTATATCAAAGCTGCATAGGGGAATTTCTAGCTTATTTCAGATATAGACCTTGGTGCTAAACATACTCCGGAGGAGGGGCTGTGTGTCTGCAGAATTAATAAAACCTACACACACAATTAATTTCTACATGAAAACCACCCTCAAAACATATATATACACACACACACACACACACACACACACACACTTGGCGTAAGAAGCCATTTAATCTGAACAATAATTTCTGTCCATTAGAAGCAATCCAATATTGTGTACCTGTTTTCATACGTCCATTCCGTCATGTCCTGCAATGATCTGTGTAATTTTTAAAAAAAATACTAATCTGCATGGAAATTTGCATTTAAATGTATATTTTTGAATATGTTTTCTTTCAAAACATGGATTTTTAAAGGCAATTGGATATTTTTGTGGGTGAGCAGGAGACTCCACCCCCTACACATTATGGATGATTGGGGCAAATTTGCATTTGGAAAGACGGGTCTGTCTGTGGCCATTATATCTTGTCTGGCCCTCAAGTAATGCAGGGTTAAGCGAAAGGTCAGGAGTCTGTGATAGATGCCTTCAAAACTACTTCAATTTCCTAAAACCCAAGGTAATGGTGGGGTGGAGTTAACAAATCAAAGGTCATGGCACAAGTGAAAGAGTAACGTGCATAGCTGCAAATTGTCCAAACATCCAAGTGTCTACACTGGTATGTACTTAGTGTCATCTCCCCTTCCCCAAAATAAGTGTTTCCTGTTTGGAGTGTGAACCAATTCCCCAGAGGATGAATTAACACTTATCTATTAGGCCAGATAAGACAAAGCCCACGTCTTTCCACCCCTGAAACCATCTGGGAGTCACCTAATCCTCAGAGCCCTTTTGTATACATCAGATTGGTGGCATGTTTAGCAGATGCTGATGGAGTCACAACTCTACACCCATGTCCCAGCTTCCACGTCCCATGGTACTTACTGTCAGCAAATGTTGGTAGGTCACTAAAAGGTAAAGGTAAAGGGACCCCTGACCATTAGGTCCAGTTGTGATCGACTCTGGAGTTGCGGCACTCATCTTGCTTTATTGGCCAAGGGAGTCGACGTACAGCTTCAAGGTCATGTGGCCAGTATGGCTAAGCCGCTTCTGGCGAACCAGAGCAGCGCACCGAAACGCCATTTACCTTCCCGCCAGAGCGGTACCTATTTATCTACTTGCACTTTGATGTGCTTTTGAACTGCTAGGTGGGCAGGAGCAGGGACCGAGCAACGGGAGCTCACCCCATCGCGGGGATTCGAACCACCGACCTTCTGATTGGCAAGTCCTAGGCTCTGTGGTTTAACCAACAGCGCCACCCGCGTCCCTACATATTGATTATTGCAAGGTCAATTGACAATCACACAATTCACTGTTATGCCTAAGGGCCATTCCTTACTGACTCCAGAGCTGAGATGGAGGGGGGCGTGGAATGGTTCATTTCACATTTCAATGTGAACCTACCTAATTCACACTTCCCAAAATAATATCTGGACTAAAATGAAACTATGATTCAAAATCCACATTTCTCCTAACGTTGCACTGCAGCTTTCTAGTTAAATAATGTCCATATATTAGCGGAAGGCATACATATGCATGCATAAGTGCATCATGTTGAATCATGTCTTGTTGCTCCCCTAGATCCTCCTTTGGACTGCCCTCCCTGGAGATGCCAGAGATTGAACCTGGAACCTTCTGAATGTAGGTACCCCTAAGCTTCAGTCCTTCCCATGGAAGCATGCTGCAATGTGCTTGACTTCAATTGGCTTCACTGCATTTTTATTCTGAACTGGATCAGGGCCAATATACAGCGAGTTGTTTTGTGCATGCCATCTGTCTATACATGATGTCCTCCATATGCTACAACAGTGGCTTGAGGTTAGGAGCTGGCATGCTACCAGTGCTTCAGAAAAGAAGCCCTGACTCTCCTTGCATCCACACAAAACACAGCTTCGGTGCACCAGTCTGCTCATCAAATGTTTTCCAGCTTTGGGATGCTTCAGAAATCTCTGGTGCCCAAGGCTATACTGTAGTGCCTTTAATTTGATATATCTGTTTCCCAACTAGTTGACCCAGAACACATTTCCTAGGCATGCTTCCCTGGTAGCAAGCCCCACTGAACACAGCAGGACTTGCTGTCAAGTAAACATACATGAACTTGCATTCCATGACTGTGTTGAGTAGAGTATAGTCCTGTTGATGCATTTCCCACTCGTGCGCACTCCTCCCACAATTGTGAATTCCACACCCAATAATAATAATAATAATAATAATAATAATAATAATAATAATTTATTATTTATACCCCGCCCATCTGGCTGGGCGGCTTCCAACAAAACACTAAAATACAATAACCTATTAAACATTAAAAGCTTCCCTAAACAGGACTGCCTTTAGATGTCTTCTAAAAGTTTGGTAGTTATTTTTCTCTTTGGCATCTGATGGGAGGGCGTTCCACAGGGCGGGTGCCACTACCGAGAAGGCCCTCTGCCTGGTTCCCTGTAACTTGGCTTCTTGCAGCGAGGGAACTGCCAGAAGGCCCTCGCCGCTGGACCTCAGTGTCCAGGCAGAATGATGGAGGTGAAGACGGTCCTTCAGGTATACTGGACCGAGGCTGTTTAGGGCTTTAAAGGTCAGCACCAACACTTTGAATTGTGCTTGGAAACGTACTGGGAGCCAGTGTAGGTCTTTCAAGACCGGTGTTTCAAGAAAGGTAAGATGCTCATCACTGTATCACTTTTAACAGATCAGAACCAGGCTGGGCTCCTTTTTTGACTGTTCAGCCTTGCAGCTTAGCATGTAGAAGGCTCCAGATTCAATCCTGACATCTCCAGGTAGGGCGGAGAAATCCTCATGTGTGAACCTGGCAGAGTTTCTGCCAGTCAGTGCAGATCAGACACAGAGAGCCTATGGCCCTCCAGATATCATTGAACTGAACTCCCATCATCCCAGACCATTGTTGGTGAGAGTTGGAGCCCAACAACATATGTGGTAGGAGGGAGGGCACAGGTTCTCCATCCTTTCTGTAGACCAGTGTTTCCCGAACTTGGGTCTCCAGCTGTTTTTCAGACTACAATTCCCATCATCCCTGACCACTGGCATTGCTAGCTAGGGATGTTGGGAGTTGTAGTCCAAAAGCAGCTGGAGACCCAAGTTCGGGAAACACGGCTGTAGACACTGCTGAGCTAGATAGAACTGTTGAGCTGAGTCTGTATAAGGCACTTGCCTACAAACAGGGCAGTGAAGTCCTCTGCTACCGTGCTGAGCTGCATATCCAGTTCAAGCTCTGGGCCTGCCTTTCCCCCCTAACTAAAACAATTTTAAAGAGGTACTAATCCCTTCCCCCATAACCTTAACTATACAAGAAGGAAGCACACATCATTTACAGACAGGTTTGTCACCTTCTTTCCTGGACATCTCTAGTTTTTACCGTAACTGGTGTGTTTTTTTACTGGGGGTTTTTTAACTTAAACAGTAAAAAACTGACATTAAAGGCTGCATTTACAGCTTATCTCATCACCCACTGCTGCACTGGTCCCCATTAACAACTTTATTATTCAATGACGAGTCACTATTTAGTACTGAATGCAAATTAGTTAACTCAGAACAGCGGGCAAAGTATATAAAAATTATGGGATGTTCCCCAAGGCTATAGTTCCTGGTCTCGCCTTGAAAAGGTACCCTTGCTTCTGCTAAAGATAAAAGACAAAGCAGTTAAGCAGAATATAGTCGCTGGGGAGCAGAGAAGTGCTGCACATTCCTAGAAAAGGGTTCTCACCAACATGCCAGCTCCAAGCGTCATGAAGCCATGGCTCACCTTTCTGGTATGCCTCTTTCCCAGGGTTGGCTGAGTGAGCAGCCTTCCTTAGGATACTATTACCTGGCAGATGTACTTCTGTATTTTTACCAGACTGGGCAGAAGATCAGATGGGGCACCATTTGAATTTTCGGCCACCGACATCACAGTTATTTGGGCTGTCTCTGATGCTTCCTCTTTTAGCTGAAGGACACCCCTACTGGCTCTTTTAATATGATAAAGTATGATACTGAAATCTTTGTTTGATATACAGTGGTACCTCTGGTTAAGTACTTAATTCGTTCCGGAGGTCCGTTCTTAACCTGAAACTGTTCTTAACCTGAAGCACCACTTTAGCTAATGGGGCCTCCTGCTGCCGCCGCGCTGCCGGAGCATGATTTCTGTTCTCATCCTGAAGCAAAGTTCTTAACCTGAAGCACTATTTCTCAGTTAGTGGAGTGTAACCTGAAGTGTATGTAACCCGAGGTACCACTGTATTATTAGGACTTGTTTTAAACATTCCTACCTCCTTCACTAGGAAAACAGAAACTTGTTCTTGGATTCATTGTCCTCAGACGAGAAATACTATAATCCTACCATATATATACATCTTCATTCAGGTTCCCTCTAAAGCAGGGGTGGCCAACCTGTGGCCATCTAGATGTGGCTGGGCTCCAGCTGCCATTGTCCCTGGCCATTGGCCATGCTGGTTGTAGCTGACGGAAGTTGGGAGCCCAACATCTGGATGACCCCAGGCTTTAAAAAGGTGCTTTAATTGCCTAGGAAAAGAGGGGAAGTTACTATTTACTCTGCTTCAGCTAATGTGGAGTGTAGCAGCGCAATAGTTAAGCTGGTGACATTAAAAATGAAAACAAAACAAAAACCATAATCCTGATCAAGTTTGAATTATGTAAGGTGCTATTCTGCCTCTCAGCATACACTCCAGGGGGTGGAGAAACGTTTGGATTTGTGTAGGACAGCCAACAAACTTGGAATGGCCCTGATTTTAGTCCAGATATTCAAAGCCAGAATTTATACGGTTTCCCCCTAGTGCTTAAAAGGTGTTGCACATAATAAGGCAAGGCACTATTTCAGTAACGCCTTGCTCGAAAGAGATTTTTAAAAATCGCTATGACAATCATTTCCCATCTCCCAAAGAGGGTGAGAGCTGCAATTTATGCTCCCAAAGACTACCTTTTTCTTAAAGCTCTTAAGGAACATTTTCGGTAATAATGGCTGATTTAGATAGATTCCCAAGGTGTTGGATCATTGCTGATGACATTAATGGTTTAAGGCTCCCTGAATGTTGATTGATTGCCGTAATCTGCTGAAACTATTTCAGGACATAGATTTATTATTATTAAGCCTATAAAATGGTGTCAGGGTCAAAGCAAGCTGATGATTTGTTTTGTGATGCAGACATTATACAGGAGCAGATGAAATCTTTTAATAAATGTGAAATGCAGGCGAGAACAATGTTTCATCTTCTTTCGTTGGAAAAATCTGTGGCCGGCTAATACAGATTACAGCAGCGCAGGGAGAGTGCATTTCGACTAAGGCTACTCATGGAAAATAACCTTCAAGCACCAAACAAGCTCTGAGCTTTGTTTAACAGTAGCACTTCACTTAGACTATAGACACCTCTTGGGGGGTCTTGCTCCATGGGCAAGTCTATAGCATGGAAGCACAAGATGGAACAAACTTGCTAGAGCTAAACAGAGTTGTGGCTGAATGGAAGAACTATAGGAATTCCATGCATGCTACCTCCAGGTCTATTGCAATAAGTTGGTTATAAGGTGAGGTTCGTCACCTCGGTTGCATGCAGTGCCTTTTACCAGGTTAAACACCTCATCTGCTGCAGCCAATGTAGGCTGATCCTTTAGGGCCACTGGATCACAGCCTTGCTGTGAAAACTTGCCAAACTTTTTTTTTTTACTCCAGCCCTCAAAAAATATCAAAGCCACACTCTTTCTCGTATTCTACACACACTTTATTCATCTGTCTGAACTCGGAGCAGCTCTGCAAACATTCTTGTTAATGTACAGTTCTCTGACCAACCAGCCAATCCTAAACCAAAAACACATCTCTGGCAAAGAGATCCCTCCCGTGTATCTCTAAGCAGGTAAACCATGTGGCTGTTCAAACTGCCTGAAAGTCAGACCTACATGAAAAGCTCGCCTGATTTGTTGCTATGAGGGCTAACCAGCAGCATTCGTACTGGCATATTAGGGCTACATCAAAGGGCTGTCCAAATATGCTCAGAGCTCACCTCAAAGCCCATTATTTGTAGCTCGTTGGGAGAAGGGTGTGGCCGCTAATTAAGAGAGAACAGCAATGGACTGAATGCACGAGCATCTTTCTAGAGAATCTACCGTAGACCATCTTTTTAAAAACAAAAACAAAAAAGAACCTAAATCATTTACTGTTATTTTTCAGAATGAGGGAGGATTGGGAGGGTGGCTTCTGTAGATGCTGCAACCTTCCCTACTTAAGTTGTTGGAACTGGGTTTCTAGGGGCCAAGTATAAACTTCCTTTCACTTCCAGGCTTTTTAGCTGTGTGCAGTTGCATACCCCCCAATACTTTGAAGCCCAAATGCAGGATCCCATTTTCCCAGATGCCATCTTCCCATTTTTTAATCGTGAGAGCATGGCAGCCATTTTGGTTGCCACAATCTAGTGTAATTTTGCACTGTGGTCGTCCCCCCCCCCAGCACTTTTTGGGCCACGGCACCCAAAAACACATGTTTGGGGGCATCATGCAAGATCACAACCCTTTAAAAAGTGTGTTTTCAGGGGGGATTGCACCACAAAATTGCACAAGAGCACGGTGACCAAAATGGGCATTGTCTTCTCATAATAAAAATCTGGTTTTTCTGTGACATTTGTGGGGTATGCATTTGGATGTTCAATGTGTTAACCATTGGTCCTATTGGTCACTTTCTAGCCTTCTGTCTTTAGTTTTGTTTTAGTTTTTGAATGTTTTAATCACTTTATTATTATTATTATTATTATTATTATTAATGCAAAGTATTCTAGATTGCCAGATGGCGGGTAATGTAAAAAAATCTTTGAAATAAGTCAATAACCAAACAAACTAATCTAATTTGCTTAATATTAAAACCCAAAGTGCTTTGACCAAATCTGAATTTAAAAAATCATTTGTTTCACCTCCCAGTATCTCTCACATTTTCTTTTTAAAGGCAAAAAAGCCCCATCTCCCCACCCCAAAATAATGTTAAAACAAGGATAGGGGTTACAGGCCAATGTGACAGAGGAAGAGATCATTGTTCCCTAGGGTGGGGGGAAGAAAAACTTGAAAGGCCAGAATTGAAACTTGCACAGGCAAAAAAAACAAAAAACCCTACATAAGCAAAAAGATTACAGCTGGTGCCTAAAGATGATGGGGAAGATCTGTTTAAAGGTTGGTCACATTTCCAAGCAAATGCAGAACTTCAGAGAACCAAAGGCCTTCATACTCAAAGTGACAGACAGTCTTTTCTTGGTGCAGTGAATACAGTACAGTCTGAAGGAAAGTTACAGGAAACATAGGATACCAGGTCAGCCAGATAATACCACTAATCCAGTATTGTTTCTTTCTGGTCCTGAATCTCTGAGATAGCAAGCAGGGGTCTTTCAAATGTCCTGCTACTGGAAATATTTTTAGACCAGGTTTCCCCAACCTGGTGTCCTCTAGATCAGCTTCTCTCAAACTTTGGTTCCCCAGATGTTCTTGAACTACAACTCCCATCATCCCTGACCATTGGCGAAGCTGACTAGGAATGATGGGAGTGGTAGTCCCACAGCATGCAGAGACCCAAGGTTGAGAAAGGCTAATCAAAATATTTTGGAGTACAACTCCCAGTGCACCCAGACGCTGTAGTCCAAAACATCTGGAGGGCACCAGGTTGGCAAAGGTTCTTTAGACAGATACCATAGATTGTCCTTGTGTCAATAGGGGTGTGTGGGTGTGTGGGTGTGAATCTGAACTTAGCCTATGGTTTATTACTGTAGATCATGGCATAAGTAAGAAGACTGGCATTACTAAACATGGTGACCCTCCATTATGAACTTTCTTGAACCCTGGTACCAGTCTAATCTCAAAGCATGCCCTGGAAGGCATTCATAAAATATCTTGAGTTCCTCACACCTCGTAAAAGTCAGCACATGTAAATCAAGTTGCCAGTAAACTCTGTTTAACACCTGAATGGATGACATCAAGATAATGGTGAGATAATCTTAAAACAGGAGGCGGGCAAAGGATGGCCAGGTTTGCTCACTGGGAACATATTCTTTCAACCTTTTGTTAAGCAAAACACATGGTAGTAGGCAGGAAACTCTGGGATAAAATGAGATGGGGGACACTTGGCTTGCCAGTAGTACATGTGAAAAGGATCTAGGAGTCTTAGTAGATCACAAGTTGAACATGAGTCAACAGTGTGAAGAAGCAGCAAAAAAGGAGATCAGAAACTGGAAGAAAATGTGAACACGGAGTAGGAAGAGAATAAGCAGGGTCTAAAATGGCAGGACACGCAATTTGCCTGGGATACAAATTAGCCTAGGCAAGCAGGCAGCCTGATTTTATGAGAAAGTGAAATTCCAAAAAGAACATATTAGTGTGCTATTTTGCTAAATTGCAAACAAATAAATAACATTAGATTTGTACAACAATTGAACATGTAGCAAGAACGCTCCTTGCTACAGCAAATCAACTATAATTATTTCCTAAGAAAATAAAGGGCTGATTAGAAAAGAGAAAACAGGAGGGTATTAAATGGTGGTTACTCAGCAAAAGCATCACTCCTTGCCAATTAATGACACAGAGCCAAGTAAATAACAGAAAGCATGTTCAAGTTGCATTGAAAACTGTGGGACTGGATATAAGTTATAAGCTCTGGTCATGATCTGGCAGGATGTTCTCCTATGCAAGTCCAGTTAAAATGAATGGAAGCAGCTCTCTGCATTTGAATGGAGCAAGCACAGGAGCTTCAAATGTGACTAATTTCAATGGAATTTAAGCATGGATATATTTTCTTCCAGTTGCACCCACAGAATTAGATTTATTTATTTCAGTATATATTCAAAGGTCGCTTCAAGACATACTATGGTGGAATCTACACGCATTTTTTTAAAAAAAACCCGCTGTGAAAATGCTTTATTTTACAACCTTTTGAAAAATACATTGAATTTTGCATAGCTCACTGTTGCTATCTAGTGCCACATTTGTATACTGCACTTTACAACACATTTAAAACGTTTTATTTGCAGCTGTATAGCTGGGTCCTATGAGGTTTATTATAACACATGGCAAAAAGTTAGATTAGCTGAGTGATGGGCAAATTTACCCAGACTCTGTTCAGATTGGTAGCAGTGGAGAATACTGAGGGTGGGGGGATTGAGAGAGACAGAGCTTTAAATTCACTATTTCAGTAGACATTTTGGATTCCTCATGGGCACAAAAAAGTAGGAGGTTCACACCGCTGCAGGAGATGGATTTCTCACAGACACCCCATGAAAAGTATGAGGGACACTCCAGAGATGCTCTGGTGCTCCCAATGCAGGCATTTCCACCAGGAGAGTGAGGAGAAGAGCACACTTTAGTGGGGCCAAGGGACCCAAGAGCCCAGTCCAGGCTACAACCCCACTGCAAGGAGGGGAGGAAAATGAGGCTCAATCAATAGGAGATCTTTGAAGATATTTATGGAAGGTTATTCCCCTGTATCTACATATGTTCAGTCCCTGGCATCTCTGTAGGACTGGGAAAGAAGCCTTTCTGGAACCCCAAAGAGTCACTGCCAATCCATGTCAACAATGTGGTGTTAGATGTGTCTGTGGTCCGACTCCTGGTTTCCTTTGATGCTCATACCAGCAAAAGAATGCTCTCATAACACCATTAAGTTCAGAATCTAACTGCACCACAGTGTCACCTAACAGCCCTGTGATGGGAAGTGGAAACTTACTCCCATAGATCCTGCTTGCCTTGCATACCAAACCTGTCTTAAACCATGCCCATTTTTTAAACATCCTTCTTCTCCTCCCCCCAGGTTTGACTGTGGTTCTTCAAGGCAGCCAGCATCAGTATGGAAAAAACTCGATAGGTAGCTATCATCGCTTCGACAAATGGATGAAAACTAGTCTCTGAATCTCTTCTCGTTCTTCCTCCACGCTGCATTCCCTGAGAATTCTTTGTGGTGAATGGATTGGCAGTGCTTAGGCCAACGAGGAAATCCCCCCCCCCTTTTCACAGCATCTGTAAACAATTAACAGGAATGCTAGCAAAAGCTCCGCTCAAAAGGGTGCTGTTCTTACAAAGCTATCGTGGAATTATGTCTTTGTGCAGTGTAATCTCTATGAAGTGCCCTTGGGCAGGAAGCCATAGCAAGCAAGCTGGCGGGTTCATGATATCTTCTTATCTAACAGGTTTGCCTAAGTAACATGTACCTGCAAGGTCTCTAGGATTTTAGGGTGGGGGGTTTTTTTTGGTTTTTTTTAAACTTACTGAACTCAATGGATATTGTACCAGCTCTCCTGCTTTCAGAATACTTGATGTTTACTTTCATCTATTTCCTCCCTCTTTTGATTTCATTTTAAACACGGGGAAGACGTGGAGCTCAGAGTTGCAGCATCTGCTTAGCATACAGGAAGTCCCAAGTTCATTCCCTGGCCAGAGGCGGAGCAACCTGCTCTGGTACCCGGAGCGGTGCTCGTCCCAGGGGGGCTGATGCGCTGCCTGCGGGGGCATGGCGCGTGCCCCGGGAGGTGCCGCCAATTGGGGTTGGCATTTTGTCACACACTCCGCTTTGGAATGGCACCCGGGGGAAACCGCCCCCCGCCCCCGCCTCGGAACTCCCCTGTCCCCGGCATCTCCAAGCAGAGCAGGAAATGCCCCATGTCTGAAATCCTGGACAGCCACTACCAGTCATTGTACACACTGCTGAACTAGTGGTATAACTCTGTAGAAAGCATCTTCCTATGGTCCTGTTTCATCTTAATCATTTCAAAGTATAATTCAGTCTCTTGATTTCCTTCCCAGTGAATATTTTTCTCAGAAATTGCCCTGTCTAGGAACTTCAGGTATCCTCCCCACAATGTCAGCGTCTGATGTGACTTTTGCATGGGCACAATGAGTCTATAGATTTAGCATCTTCCATCCAAGTTGCATTGATGAGGCAGGTATGGAAACACCTAAAATATAGAGTTGGATATGCAGGACAGTTTCTTCAGGCATTATAAAACAAGGGATAACCAATGTGGTGTCCTCCAGATTGTAAGGGATGATGAGAGTTATAGCTGAGCAACACCTGAAGAACTACAGGTTTTCCACCCCCTGTCCTGGACCTTTGCTCTCTAGCTGATGTATCCTGACCACTGATTCCAGGGGTGCCAATTTGAATAAAATATTGGGGGAGCCCAGGTAAGCCCCACCCCACATAACTGATCACATGACACAGCACACGCACACCATTTGAAAGCCTATCAACTATGGGGCCCCCAGCCCCCTCACATATTTTATTGGGGGGCCGAAGGGACCTCAGCCCCTAGAAGTTGGCTCCTATGACTGATACATAGATTCTTTCTCCTCTCTGGAGCATGAGAAACTTGTTCTTTACTGCTCAGAAGAATGAACATTGGAGACCTTCTTCCGTCTCTGCCAGTTATTGGACTAGAAGGCCCTCTTCTCTCTGCATTCTTTCCAGTGCAGTGACACTATGAAGTACTAATGTTCTATGAATTCAGGAATGTGGTGGTGCTAAAGTCAGTCTATTCCTGTTCCATTACCTACCGAATTCTAGTCTTAATTTGAAAAATTCCACCCAAGTCGAAAAAATATGTTCCACGTACAATTACAGCTAAGCACATTGGGAAGCATTTCCAAAGCTTATATTTTCAAGTGTTCCTTCTCGATCTTACTTGTCCTCTTTCAGTTCCCATTTCCATGGAAACAAGGTAGAAAAGGCTGTCATTGAGCACTGTACAAGCAACAGTCAGGATTGACAACGGGAGATCTTGCAGATACATTTTAGCTGCTGGAGGTCAGCAGAAAATAGTGGTAGGAAACCAAGTCACAATCTATATGAAGCAACGTGCATTGTGTCCTGAATGGCACATGAAGTGAAGCAAGGCTGATGAGATCATGAGGTAAATGAATATTCTTCCCACGTACACAGTCACATAAATCCCTCTGGCTGCAGTTCAGCACTTGGGGACCAATGGGGTTGTGCATACCTACCTACCTGTGTGCTGGATTGTGGCCAATCCTTTTTTTCCCACCAGGCCATTAAATCACAGTTGTTTCTTCCAGAGCCTTACACAATAAAACACAGTTTGCATCTTTATTTCCCTCTTCATTCTTTATATGTGCAGCAAAGCAGCAGTCTGCACATCTATCACCCAAACTATAAGCTTGACGATACAATATCCATGAGGTGCTCTTTGTCACTTGATGGTTGGCAAGATTGGTGCCAGTTTGAGGGAACCCTCAGCAAAGTGTCCCCAGTGGACCCTTCCTGTAAGAAGTGGGTTGATCTGGTGATGGGAACAGCAGGAGTCCATTTAAGTCTCCCACAATGACACTCGGTCAGGGGCACTGTGGGAAATTTAAAGGGTGGCTCACAGACCAAGACATCAGGGCAGGTGTCAGGGCCAGCTGGTCCTACTAAGGGTGTCGAGAGCTGGCGCCAAGCCTGACACCTGGATGCAGCATTCACCAAGTGAGCAATTGCATCACATATGTCGAGCTCGAAACTCATCACCCAGAAAGGTTCTGTGACTTCCATGAGTACGGGAAGGTGAATTTATTTCCTTCCAGTGCCACACAAAAAATGCCTGTTACAGAGACGAAAGATACATGATGGATAACACTGACATGAAATAACAACGTGAGCCAAGGGGGTGTTCAGTAATTACATTCAGTGTCCAAAAGGAGAAAACACGATCTCATTGACTCCAATCAGTCTCTCCTTGTTCGACATTCCGACTAGAGCACTTTCCTAAATAAGATCTAAAGCCTCATTTATTCTACTCTCCTTCTACACACACACACACCCTTCACCTTTGCTTTTGAATCAGACTCTATTAGCAAAGGTGGCCACTTTCCTTATTGCAAGAAGGGCTTTGCAGCACCCAATGCGGCATTAAACGAAACAAAAGAAAAAAATATACAAGAAAGAAAAGGGCAACAACCGGACAGCTCCACCAGTTTGCGGATGGTGCTGATAATGCCAGGGTTGCAGGTTTGATCCCTGTATGGGGCAGCTGCATTGCAGGGGGCTGGACTAGATGATCCTCAGGGTGCCTTCCAACTCTACAATTCTATGAACCCCAAATGGTACCAAAGTGTGATATCAGGAATTGGCATCAGGCCTCCGCAATGTTTGGGAGAAGCTGGCACCTCAACATCCAATACCTTTCCATATAGCAGTTTATTGTTGACTCCCCATTACTATGCATGCAAATTTTCTGCAGCATTCATACGACATTATCCTCATCAAAATGCTATCCCATAATATTTCCCCATTAAATCCAGATTTACCTCTCTCTCTCTCTCTCTCTCTGTCTCGTGTGTGTGTGTTACTTGTGGGATTTTCAGGAACAATTGGGAAAATAACCTGGGTTTGAATCCATAATAAACAGCCATGGTGGGGGAAAGCACCCCAGATATATTCAGTATTTTCTTCAGTAGGTAACGATAGGTAAAGATTAAAAGAGATGTCAAGGTAGCAGGGAGAACACTGGTAGTGATGTCAAACGTCATAAAAGGTAATGCAAAAAAGTACAGTCCCTGATCACTCAAATAAAGTTTAACAAAAAAATAAGCACAGCTACCATTCATAACAGCAGCTATTGGTGGCAGGGCTACTGTTGAAAATGGCCACTCTGCTTGTTTTGCATACATTTAAACTTTCATGATCAGAAGCCATACTTTTTTTTGCATTTTGTTTTAAAGACATTTGGCCCGCAGTTCATGTTTCCTCCACCACCACCCATACTCAGCTGCCAACTGAGAAAATAATTTCATGTGTTCACTGAAGTAGACTCTGGTCCAGAAAAAGCTGTCCCGGGGTATATGATCTGAAGGCACATGAGGCTACTATCTTCCTGAAACTAAGCAGGACTGGGGCTGGTCATCAGTGCCTGGATGGGTGCCGACATGGAACCATGAGAATGTTGCTTCCAGCATGGAAGAAAAATCAGACTGTGGCCTGCAAGATGCTAAATGACTCTTATTTTTGCCCACTGGGAAAAGTGATTTGGTTCCAACTGCACAGCCTTTCAGAATCTTAATACTGTGAACATCTCTTTAGATCTTTTTTTTAATGCTAGGGGATACTAAGCTTTACCCTTTTACACTTTTGCATGTCTTTTCCTCCATGATTGTATATGTGTCATTTTTCAGGAAGGAGTTTTTCCCTTCAATGCTATATAATGCTTTTTTTAAAAAAACTGAGAAACTCAGAAGTAAAACCATCTGCTCCTGAGATATACACCTGTGTGCGAGAAACACACAGTCGGTTCCTAGCCTGCACGTTGACTTGGATCTCAAGAGGTGAGATTCTTATCCTGGATTTGGCTGACACTCTCAGCTCCCTTCCCAAAGCCACTAAACAGCTGACTTGGCGGAACATTTCTTGAGGAAATGGGAAGGGTATATGAAGGAAGCCAACTTCTTCTTGGGTTCCTTACAGCCCTAAAGACAGCCTGGCTTTACTGAATTTTGAAGACTTTTCAGCAAACCTGCGCCAAGTTTCGAATGACTCAGGGTGAGGCTTCAAAGAGGCTGAGCTGAGTTATGATTCCACCTTAAACCAATCTGAGACTTGGCAGCGGGGACGGAATTTGCCATAAGATTTGGGTTTACTTGAAACTGAAACTCACGCAGGGATGCAAGGACGTGTAACTTGAAACGGAAAATTCATTTCTAAGAGTTCTTGTGGAGTTCCTAGGGGCTGTAGGAGGTAGGGTCTGGCCATCTTCCTCCCTTTCTCCTTTCCCATGTGGGTGGCGTCGTGATGCTTACTGCAGCTCTGAAAGATTATTCATTGCTAAGAAGCCAGGGATACAAAACAGGGAGAAATATGTAATGCAGCCAAAAGGCTTCTCTTTGTTTTTCATGGAGAATTTCACAGGGCCTTTGATGGGGAAGAGGGAAAAGGGTTACAGTTTATGGTCTAAATGTGTTTAGCCTTGGCCAAATGCAATGCGCTTTGGGTGCAGTCTACCAGAAGGAAGTTCTCTTGCACAAGCAATGTTCGAACGAATGAAAGCTTTGCTAGAGCACTGCCAGATTCCCACGCAGTTCTCGCTTGTCTCAACTGAGTCTTACCTTCCTAGCAAAATTGTGACCCTTATGAGCATCCAGAGCAAGCAAGAGTATTACAGGCAACAGAGCAGTAAGAATACCAAATAGATCCAATCAACCTTCCCGCTGACTTTAAAAATGCACAGGAATACCTGTCAATATGAAAAGCAGCAGTAAAGCATGGTTAGCCCTGCTTGGGCACAGAGCAGAGTATAGAGTCAGGGTTTTATGCAACTGGTAAGGCTGTCATCAGCCAAACAGGAAGGGAAGCAATTTTCAGCTTCCCCCTCTACACCAGAGAGTTGGAGGGCCATATGGAGCTGATTTGGGGAGGTGGCACTGGGCTTATAAATGGTTGAAAACTGCAGCTGGAAGGCTTACAGTGAGTTGAGAGACACCACTGGACACAACCCTCAGCCTCCAATCGATGGACAGGGAAGGAGAGGTCGTGCTACTGGAGGGTGGAGCTGCGCTTGAGGTTTGAGCACTGGAGCACCACCTTTTTTAAAAGGCTTGAGGCAGACAGTAATCTTGTGGGAAAGCAAAAAGTCATTTGAAGAGGGGATCACTGCTCCCAAGGTGAGTACAGTTTCACATCTGATAAGCACAGGCCGGCCCAAGAAATGCCTGAGGTGAAAGAGAAGATGCCTTCTCCCCTTCCCCTCCCCCCCATTCCATGTACAGAGGTTGACTCTTGCATCAACAATGGCAATGGGGCAATGACCTCCATTGCACCTGAGGGCAGCAGGCTAGCTTAGAGGGTGCAGAGGAGGCCATGCGCCCTACACAGCTCTGTCACCCAACACTTTGCTGCCACTCCCTCCCATGCATCTGCTGCCCGAGGCAGTCACCTCACTCTGTCTGTCTGATGGTAGGGCCAGTCCTTCAAGTTTTGCAGGATTCATTTTTCCCTCTTGCTTCAAAAAAAATTCCAAAATCTGTTTGACCAGAGATGACCGTTATGATTGGATGATTTGCAGTAGATTCGTATCTTTTTCTGACTGCCAGCTGTTTAACAATGGCAACAATTGTTTTTGTTTTCCATATCACCCTGTGAGAATCCTTAATCTTTAAGAATGTAAGATGAGTCCTATTGGATAAGGAGGAGAAGGGGCAGGTCTGTCTGGTCCAGCATTCTGTTCTCACAGCGCTTAACCAGGTGCCTCCAAAAAGCCCAAAAGCAGGGTATGAGCACAATCTGTAGTAACTTCGATATAAATGTGTGCCCGCACATGCAGATCTTCCGAGCATATGGTTCATGGAGTTAGGGATGGGAAACACTGTCAATTTCAGCTTCTCTTAGTTTCCCATTTGGCTAGTCTTAGGTTCATTTCTCCACATAAGTTTGTGATTTATTTATTTTTAAGTTCTTGTGAAAACTATTCAGCATTTTAATATGGACATCTCCTAATATGCGCATTTTTGCAAGCAAATTTCCATAATAAAATGCATTTTTGTATGTTGCTTCATGCTACTTCCACACACATTTCCCCCTAATATACACATTTTGGGTAGGAGGACAGCCTTGCACAAATCAGAGAAGTGTGAAGTTCAAAGCATAGCTGCATTTCAGGTCATATTTGGGGAGCTTCCCATTAAAACCTGAACCAAAATCAAATCCTCGTCTATCTCTGCATAGGTGCACCCACTGTTTTCCTTGGCGGATCATGGCTTCCAGTTAAAAGTAGTTTGTAAGGGGAGATATGGTTGATGCATGCTTCCTTTGTGTTCTCCTTGGATAGATGAAATAAGGAAATAAGACTATGAGAAAAGTGGACACAGTAGATGCAAACAAACTTATTCTCAAGACAGCTACTTTCAGGAACGAGAAGAAAAAGATCCCCAGGACGCTACTTTAGCTGGAGAACTACTCAAGCATCTTGCAGACTTTGAAAGGGGAAGCTGTGAGACCCCCAACAAACTTCTATTTATTTTCATGATAAGGTAGTGATGACTGTCTGTGGAAGTCATATATCATTTCCCCGGAGAAACTCCCAAGCGTTAAAGCATATTTTCTTTTTATTCTACTCTATAATAGTAAAAACCAATTACACCCACTCCTCCTGGCTGTCTTCTTGGATTATATTTAGAGTACTAATCTGACTAGTACAGCTGTCGCCCAATTAGAGAAATCTTAGTTGAATAATCATATGTTTAATTGATTATAACCGCTTAAATTTGCATTTGACTGCAATAGTGGGTTTTGCGGGGGGATGAGCTTCTTCTGGCCTTAAATGATACATGCATTTGTAGGAGGAGGTGCCCATCTTAAAGGAGACATCCCATGTGAGTGTGAAAAGAGGTGCAACATGTCACATTGCATCAGTAACATCTGTGACTGGAAAATGTAAATGTTCTCCCTTACCCCCCCCCCAAAAAATCCAACGTGAGTGGCTGTGCCATTCCTTTAACAGGCAAGCGGGAGAGTACATCTACATTTGTACACCATGTCAAAGGTTTAAAGATTAAGCTGAAATAATAGGAAGCCCAAATCAGAGCCCTGCTTTGCAGCCAAGCTTCCACCAGGGGAAAGATTCCCAGCCTATGAATGGCCTGTAGTCCAGGGGTCGGCAAATTTTTTTAGCCGCTGGCCAGTCCATTGTCCCTCAGACCTTGTGGAGGACCAGATAAGTGGCACTGGGGGGGGAGCTGGAAGAAGAGGCGAGGGGGACAAGTAGTCCTCCTCCTCACCCCCCAGCCACTGTGCTTACCTTCCCAGGGCCTGCTGCTGCTTCTCATGGGTAGGCAGAGTGAGCTCATCCGCTCCGCTCTCTGGCCTACAGGAGCACCAGGGCGGTGGCAGCGGCGGAGGGAAGATGAGCAGCGCGAAAGGGCTGGCTCCAGAGAGGGGCTGCTTAAAATGGCGCTCAGCCAGCTCAGCCCAGCCCCCTTCCTCCTCTAGGCAGGGCGGGCAGAAGCCAGGAGGAGGGAGGGAGGCGGCGGCGCCACAGTGTGTGTGAGGGGGGAGATGGAATGGTGCAGCAGGGGAAATGGCGCAGCCTGAATGAACAGAATCCCCACACCAATCCACAGACAGTCCACAGGCCGGATCATGAAGGCAATTGGGCCTGATCCAGCCCTCAGCCCTTAGTTTGCAGACCCCTGCTGTAGTCAGTGGCTAGCATGAACTGGCAACCACTGAGAGACTTTTGCAAATGGCACCTTGGAATGGGCCTGAGAGACATATAAGCAATCATCCGCTCTGCAGCGTCTGCTATCACATTAAAGTAAAAGGTCCTCACTCAAGGCTGGCTCCAAGTCTGAGAAGACCACCCACAAACTGCATGGCGTGCTGCTGATAAAGCCAGTGGCCCAACCCTCTGTTTTGTTAGCAATTCATTAAAAAAGTTGCATTATT